TCATGCTTCAGTGAGCTTTGTGGGCCATNTGAGAAGCATCTGTGCCCAAAACTCAAGAGATAGGTAGAAGCACTTGGCATGGACATTTAAAAACACCCATATTAACTGTAACCCCTTGGAAGCAGGGTTTCTGGGAACCATATTGACTATATGTCTCTTAATTTTCACAGTTTCTTGAAGTTTTATTAGCCATTAAATGCTTTATTCCTGGCAATGTGGTCAAATCAGATCATGGAACAGTAATAGTTATGTATATGTACAATACTATGACAATAGATACCTTCTCCTATCAATCCTGGGCAATATTTGCAACTGCAAATGTCCAAGGAGGGAATCAATTCAAATTCACTTTTTTGGGGAGACTATAGAATTTTATATCTCAGAGACTTTATGGGGCTTACGACAATAGCAGGGAGATTGAGTGTTTAAAATATTTCTGCTTCAAATTGTGAATTGCTTCCAGTAGGTTGCAGTCATTCAGAATTTCCCATTTTGTCAAATCCCATTTTTGGAAGTTGTCACAGTGAATGCTCTGCCTTATCCTGAGTTTTCATTCATTCATCCCCAGACTTGGTATGTACAATCTACACCTCCTTAGCTATGTCTCATACACCATAGCTTAGTTCTGAAAATGTTTGGTTCTTGTGTTACAGCACCAACTTTGTCCAAAAAATGACCAGACATTCTTTTTTCCCAGTTAGTGTATATCGACGCACATTGGTGGACATTGATAGAGGTTGATGAACACCAAGATATGTCACATGACAACAGAGATTAGAATTAGATACGGCGATTTCCATTGTGCTTGTTGTTGTGTTTCATTGAAATTCAACACTCTCACTGTCGTGTCCAACATCCTCCAATGGATTCCAATGGCTTTCGCTGAATATACTTGGCCCATGCTTACCCCTGATACCATCCAATATGGTCCGATGAATTTCAAATCTTATCTCCAGGTGAAATAGTCGTTCCATCCCCTGATCAATGCTTTCGTACCCCTCATCACCCCAACTGAACACCCCGCTATGTCTGCACTAATGGGACCCATCAACAACCGTCGCAAGAAATCGGACTTGGAGGCGGTTGCTCATGTGCTCAAAATTGACCCCACTGGTACCGTGAAAGTCTTGATTCCCCACATCATCGCGCATCTCGATGGCCTTCCCATGCGCACACGTTTTTGCGGAGGGTCGTTCCTGGGCATGATGGGGAACAGTCCGAACAGAGCGCATTAGGTGGCGAGTTGTTAGTTGGTGAATTCGTTAGCATGTCACTGTCTGAATTGTCAGCGCATTATTCAAAAAACCAGGAAGAAAAAAAAAGTCCTTAGCTGAAAAGTTGAGTTCATATTGCGAGATCTCTGAACCCAATAAACAAGAAGTTCTGTAGTGAATCCCGCGGTCTGCCCCCCACTTATTACTAATGCTATTCTTCAACAGGTACAACAAACTCACCTATCACGCAGCCAATATGAAACCCTCCCCATCAACCTCCCCTCTGCAGGCATATCTAAAACACTCCTCAGGATATACTTCACCACCAACACCTTGAGTCCTTCAAGATGGCAGATGCCATTGCCTGGTCCACGACCATCTTTGGATATGCCCATGCCAGCTATGCCCATCAACATGCCTTGCCCTACCGCCTGGCCATGCGCACATGATGTCACGCAGGCCAGGGCCTTGTGTGGCGGAGTAGTTGGAGCGGAAGGAGGTGGAGTGGAGCATTGGGCTTCGTCGTGGATGCAGAAGAGGGGGGTTTGGCCTGCTGTGTCAGAGGTACTTAGACAATGTTGAGAGCACGCATGCTGCAGCGGCACTTGTGAGGTTGTTGGAGTTGGAAGAGGACCACAAGTAAGGGTGTGGACGCGTTTTAGGAGGTTTTTAGTCCGTATGTTAACATAGCTGTCCGATGCATTTGGATAACCATGGACGAATGGAGTGGAATATGCTCTTCGGAGTTTGTTTGCCAATGTTGAACAACAACTTCCCAAAGCCGGCAAATTGCGAATCATCTGTCAATAATGCCGGCAGGGTACTGGTGTTTGTAGCTGCTATTACATAAATAAAATAAAATAAAATAAAAAGAGGAAAAAAGCGAAAGAAAAGAGAATATTTCTTATCTTATCTTATCTTCTATACATGAGCTGTAAACTACTAGCCCATCCTTCCATTTCCACCTACATCTGGGCAGCTCTGGAGCACTTTCAAGGATGTATGTTGGAGTAATTAACCCTTTTTTTTTGGTGGGGTGATGTGAAGCACTTCCACTTTGATGTTGAATTAGTTTTGACCAAACAGGATTCTTTCTTTGTACATCTACAACCTGGCATTGTGATTTTGTTTCTGAAAGTTTGATGATAACTTACAGTAGTTTTCATGTGTGAAACTATGACATGCGATGCTATAAAATGAAAAATCTCATCCCATTTCCCTTTGCATGATTACCATTCCATATAATTGCAGCTTTGCTCTGGATCTTGGTTTTTCTCTCATGCATAAGCTTTGTAAACAACTAAAAGTCATCAGAATCTCCATCCCAGATAATCATACAACCATCTAAACAAGGGACACACCAGCTGTACAATATTCTTTCCAGTAGATAGGGTAAATTTTTCTGGGTGATACAGTCAAGTGTAAGACTTATGCAAATGCTTGAAAATATCTTACACAGAAAGACATAATCTATCCAAAGCTTCAGTTGAAATTTCAGAAGATTAACAAGCCACAATTTAAAATTATGTTTATCAAAGCAATGAGGTATTACTCTTTTATTTCAAGACTTCAAATTTCTTGTACTCAGGAGTTAATTTCGTCTAAAACATGAGAAATGTCTGTTGGATTTTTCAGGGTTATTTTTATGGGATTTCTTTACAATTTTTTTAGTTGTTTTGGCAGTTGACCAAAAATTGCCATAACCCCACATGCCATTTTGGTAGTTGTAAATGGCCTATGACCTGTGACTGTTGAATTGATAAAAATGGCACAGTAGCAAGTTCAGAATTCAAAAATGTCAATTTCAACTGATGTTGCTGATTTAACAATTTTTTGAACAGTAAAATGCATAAAAATTTGGTAGCTCATACTCATGTAATAATCTCAGTATAATGTCGATTTTATATGATGTAAAAATGTAGTGGAAGACTGCAGAGAGGGCAAGTATTACAGAAGCAGGCTGGAGATTATTGCTATCACATAAGCATATGCATAGCCACCTGCTATCACATAAGCACATAGCCACCTGCTATTATGTAATAGTAGCTACAAACACCAGTAGACTGCCATAATGCCCAGTACCAATTTGCTACTGATGGACCACAATGGACTCCAATGGATTTCGATAAGTTTCCAACGACATTCACTGAATGTCAGTGTAATTCATTGAGGTCCATCGGGGTCCATTGTAGTCTATTGGACACCAGATTTTGGTCAATGTCCTACAACAGCACCCATTGTGACTCACTGAGTCTCGATAATTTCCATTGGTACGCAATGGAGCTGAAAATAAATTCAACGTAGTGCAATGAGTAACATTGAAGTCTGGTGTAGGGACCAATGTCAAACAATGAGTATTGATTGAGTCCATCAGACTTTCCAGCTCCACGCATATTACTGGCCCAAACCCACTCTCTTCGTACCACATTATCCCCAGACAAATGGCTATGGACAAAAACGGTACCCCAGTCAAAGTCTCCACAGATGCCTTCTCAAAATATTATGCACGGTACTACATTGTAACATAGTAGAGGCCAGAAACATACTGAAGATCAAAGGTTGGCTGAATAGGACGCTACTACTTACTGGCTGCGTCGCTTCAATTATCGGGAAAAGACAGTGCCAGTGTATTGGCATTCCCCAGTTTTGTCGTTCCACTGCACTGTTTTTTTAAAAAGATTGTACGGACACAACTTGCGACGTCAGTGCTTCTTCGTGTCGAACCTTATTTAACGGGATTTCCTGCCACCAAACCGCCATAGACGACGACGCTGGGCCTGAACGCTGTGCGGTCGCTCCGAGTCAAAAATGAAGACTGTTTCTCATTGACCAAGACAGCGTAGTCTCATTTCGCCACACGACCACATCTGCTGCGTACTGCTGAGATTGGGTTTATATTGGACCTGAGATGACCTGCTCGAGGGTAGAGCAGCAGCAGGGTCGATAGAGGAATTAACAGTAAGCTACGTAGCATTGGTGAAGCTGATACGGCCGTGTGGCGAAATGGCATCGCGTCTGACTACGATAACGCGGCATCAGGAGATTGCAGGTTCGACCCCTGTCTCGGTCATTTTTGCCTAACACATCTGGATGAAGGGAGAAAACAGCTATGGCAGCGAAAAGGGCCCTTGTTTGAAGGGGAAATGAGAACAGGTTGGAAGTTATGTTGTCGGAACCAAGGTATATCGAGTGTACTGTTGTGCAAAGCGTCGAAAAAGCAAATGTAATATTATGTAAAGCCTATGTAGGAGGACGACTTCCGGAATCATCTAGGAAAGTTTTCGTTACTGTACAATTAGTTTGCTGGTGAAGAAAGCGTTGAATAATGGAATAAGAAAACAAAGACATTTCATCTTCATGACGCTCATTCAGTACTCAGTGCTCAATCATAGACGGAGGAGGCTTCCTGTAACTCAGAGACCGCCTCTTGGAATCTCGACTGCTTTCGTCTTTGACTGGGACGGGAGGGCCCTCTTGCCATCCACAATATCCTTTCCTTGTACTCCAAATCTTCACTTTCACTTCATCCGTATGCCCGAACCACTTTTGTGGAAGGTTTCGTTCACCAGAGCTCATCGAACGACGACCAAACTCCTCCGAACAACTAGCTCCATGCTCATCTGGGCTTTCAATGATGGCACTAAGCTTTTCTGTCGAATATGAATCGGAAGGTGACCAGGGAGCGGATTTGGAGCTCGGAGGTGTAGTGGACGACCGCTTTGCAGAGCGCCGTCCGGCTCGATGAACAGAAGATGATTCCGCGATGGAGTCACGGCTGGCTTCGATCGCGGAAGATTTTCGTGGACGCGGAGTTGGCGGAGGAGTGGGAAATTTCGGGATGGAGTCCTGCGAAGGAGTGGATGGGAGTGTTTCTTCCGGCGGGAAAACAAGGCCGATGGGAACACCTTCGCCGAGCTTGCGGCGAACACGGTCCATCTTCCGCCTGCGAGTGGTGCTCGGTGACGGAATAGAAAATGATGGAAGGACAGGGGAATCTCGTGGTGAGACTTCGACAGGGCTGATTGTGTGCGTGTCTTGAAGATCGTAGAAGGTGCATGGGGATGCATCAAGAGCAGCCGGAGACGCAGGTATGGTGTCAAGCGCGGGGGGTGAAATGGCCAGACGGAGGAATGGGGGTTTGTTATTCGGTGTCGGTGGTGAACTTGAGCGCCGTGATCGTAATGAGTCAGATTTCAATGATGCGGGCATAGTAGTCGATGACGTCGACGCGCGACGCCCAATGGATGACGAGCGCAGGGTTGAACTGGCGCTACTTGAAGAGGAGCCAGACGCCATTGAGTCAATCGATGACCTCTTCTTGGACGGCAGAGAAATGTAAAGAGGATCTGAGGTGGGTCTTAACTTAAAACAAGGAAGCGTTGCCATTTCTACGCACCATTGATAACAGAGGTATCCACAAGATGAGGGGCTGTTCCCAATATCTTTTCCAGCTTTCTCGTCCTACGAAGAAGCTGGGCACGCTGTGGGGCCGTCAAAGAATTCGTCGTTGGCGGAGGGGGTGGGAAGACCACTTTCGTCAGGCTAGAGAGTGACATCGGACGACGAAGATAATGCTGAAGCCTCGACACGAAGTATAGAGGAGAGAGTGAAGGACGTGCGTCCTGGGTGTGAGATTGCTACTGCTTCTCAGGGTATGTACTTATACATAGTGCGCTAGAACAAAAGCACTGAGGTCGTGATCAACCTCGAAGGAGTTCTATGACAGCTTCATCTACGCTGCTCGACCTTCTTATTGTGTGTCCATCAGAGCGTACCTCATCAAGGAGGAAATGGAGTCTAATTGTGGAGAAAACAATAAGAGGCGGAGCTATCCTGAGCTATCGGATGACGGACCGATTCCCACAGTCTCGTGGCACATGCCAAAAGGTCACATTTTGCCAACCCTCTCCCGCGGTCGATACCATATCTAGTGGACATGGCCTGAGATTCCAGGTGCGAGCTTGACTCAGCGTCGGTCATGCGGATATGAGGGTAAGGTCCTGGTAACCGGTAACCCAAATTCAGTGGAATGAACCTTCCGCCCAGATCCCATCCTGAGCCACACACTTTCGTCACTCCGGACACGTAGGAACCTCTTTGGTATGAGGACCTCCGTTGCGAAAGCAAAATGCGCCATCACGAGAGTAAACGCACCCAAGGGGATAGGACAAGAGCAACTTCAGACACAAAACCGCCAGGGCACACCGAAAACCGCGAGATTCTGAATGACGCCTAATTCAAGAATCGGATTACCCTCGCCAAGGCTGGAGCACAGCAGAAGTGGTGCCGTTCAGGGTTCGTGTGGGTATAATGAGGATGCGATCCTCATAGTTGCGTTGTCTGATACGAAGGACGATGCCTTCCTGGACGATGTAAGTCTGCCAATCAGGATCATCGTGGTTGTTTTGGACGACAATGGATGGTGAATGCGGAAATGAATGTGGGGGCGCTGATAATGTCGCTTCAGCCCTCTCTGACTGATAAACGGAACTTGTGCGCGCAGGGCCAATTCAGTTGGCAGTCCTTTTGTATGCGGATGTGTTGACCTCGACCATTCACGAAGTCAAAGGCGAAGGACTGGATACATGCCAAGTCCCCATGCCAAATCCTAATTGAGATCCTAAATCCTAGTTGCACTACAGTGACGTCTTTCCCTGGCTCGGGCTTCTGCATGGTTAAAAAAAATCAGCCTTCGATAAATATGAGACTCTATATTGCAGACCACGACTCGCACCGATTTGAAGTTGAGAACTTCCAAGGCCATGTGAATGAGCCCTCTCCATAGCTGCCTTCACCCTCGCTTCTGTATTTTCTTTTGATTTCACAGCAAATTCGAGAGCGCCATACTTTTGAGTGGCCTTCTCGATGACTTCTTCCCTCGTCATGGCAAACCGTCCCATGCAAGAGTGCAGAAATGACTCGTTTCTGGGGTCATATAGGGTTTCAAAGTGTGAATCTTGGGCAGACGCCGTAGTGGAAGCGATTTCCTTGTGACGAGACATCGTACTTAATGGTAGGTTTGAGGTCCAAGTCAAGTGCAAGTTGAAGTTCGTGGAGGTGCGTGGTTGGTGCGTGGAAAAGTTATCCAGGTTACGTAACGAGCAGGTGCTCGAGCTCGCGAGCCTCAAGCTCATGATCATTCCTTGGCACAAAACCGTGACAACGACCCCCAGAATTAGTCCAGGAAAAAAAAATGAGATGAAGGCATCACAGTGGGTCAATTGTGCACATTATGATTTTGAACCTCTTTTGAAATTCATCATTTCATGCAGATTTCATCATGTTACAATTTACAAATGGGTAAAAAAAAAAATTAGTCTGAGGATACAGAACCACTTGACAACCAGGCAAGGACTCAAACGCAATGTCACACCATTAAGTAGCAACTATAAATTAACAACCTCAGTCTGGGCCTCCTTCTGAAATTAAAACTATTGAAATGGACATTCGTTGGAAATGTTCAACTTGGAATGTGGGAACTGCACGACTCCAACCCCCCAGATCCGCTGTAAATGAGCATTTCTCCACCCATGAAAGTTGAACTGAGTACTACTCATTTGTTAGTTTACCTAAGGTACAAATAAGGGCGGTGAATGATAATTTTTATTTACCTTAGACTTTAGGGAAGAAGCCTTTCGATTGTTTTCCTCTATATGAAAATTTGAGAGATCATTCCAGGTGTTCCAGATCAATTCTTCTGTCTTTTTCTCTAGTCAAGTGTTGATATTAATACCCGCCGGCCCCCTTGAGTTCATCGATTTACTTTCAAAGATAACGCACGTTACGGAGGCTCAAAGTTGGCTCAAAAACCTCTTAGAGAAGCCACGCATCGGGGTAAAATTTCCAAGTACGGCTTGCCTTACGTCGGAGCTCCGCATTTTTAACTGACTATCCTTTTACAGAGCAGACAAGGAATGAGCTTGGGGTTGTTCCGACGTTACAAGACTTCAAGTTGGGATGCAATTGCAACGCAACATTTCAGAAACCCTCATCTTGCAGTGAACAGTGGCGCTGACGGATGTAGATGTAAACGGAATCATGACGGCATTGACCAGGTTATAATCTGGGTTGACATCCTGGCGTACGTGAAATTAGAATAACATACACTGGCCAGTTGCCTGGGTAAGTCCTTCGGCACGACTCGGCCCGAGATTGATCAAGGTCGTCATCGAGCGCTTGAACTCTCTCCATTGTTTTTTTCGTCCTACCGTGACAGCGCCGCCACTGTTATCACATTACCGCAGCGCATAGGGATAGCAACTATGTTTGAAGCCTCCAGAGTGTGGTTAATTACAGGTAAGTATCTTAATCGCGGAAGCTTTCATGTTAGTCAAACTTCATCATCTGATCTTCATTCTCTCCACGACAGGTTCTACTTCAGGATTTGGATTTCGCCTTGTGATCCTTGCCCTTGCGTGTGGCGATCGCGTAATCGCCACTGCTCGATCTTTGGATAAACTTGAAAACCTTGTTTCCAGCTGTAAACCCGATGTCCGGGAAAACTTGCGAACCGTACAACTAGATGTCACAGAGGGCGTAAAAGCAATCACGGACAAGGTAAACAAAGCAGCTGCCATCTGGGGTCGCATCGACGTTGTGGTCAACAACGCAGGTTGGTGCAAGCGCACATCAATCCACTATCAGATATTGATTTTTTTTTCAGGGAACGGCTTGCCTGGCATCGTAGAAGAAGCGGGGTACGTTCGAGAATGCAATTTTGTTACGAACAACGCGATCGAAAACCAGTCTACAGGTCCTCCCTGCTTCGTCGCCAGTTTGATACAAACTTCTTCGGCATGATGGACGTGACTTCAGCCACTCTTCCACACCTTCGTGCGAGCCCATCGGCATGTCTAGTGATTATTGGAAGTAGATCTGCTTGGAAGACCGAAATTATTGTTTGTGAGCTGAATTTTGATCAAGGCGCGGCTTATTTTATGCTCTAGGGCATTGGCAAGTCGACGTATGGATGTTGAAAGTTTCAGACATGCTCATCTTACTTCAGGACCTTATGCGGCATCAAAGGCGGCTGTACACGGTATGGCAGATTAATTTGAGCCCTTCTCACTAATGCTCACTTCCAATCGCAAAAGCTCTTACTGAAACTTTAACGCTCGAACTGGCACCATTCAATATTCGGGTTTTATTGGTCGAGCCTGGCGCTTTTATGACGGAAGGTATCTATGGACAACCATTTTTTACATCCAATCCTATACCAGCGTACGACGACATGAGGGCAGCCAGTAAAGCTCGGTTTGCATCTGTGGCAGGGACCGAAAAAGGGGATCCAAACAAAGCTATGCAAGTCGTGGTGGACGTGGTGAGGGGGGAAGGAGTAGCCAAGGGGAGACCGTGGCCTGGATATCTCGTTCTCGGTGAAGATGCGGAGAACGATGTGAGGACTAAGTGTTCCAAGGTGCTGAAAGTCCTCGATGAATGGGTCGATGTTGCGAGGGGCGTCAACTTTGATAACCTTTCGGTTAATCACTAAGTTACCTGCATGTGAGTGCTACCTCGCCTGTCGCTCCAAGCTTTGCCCACAACTTTCATCTTGCAGGCAAATTCCCTTCCGAATCAGCAAGCCTTCGCACCTCCATTTGGCCCTTCTATCAAGATACGTAGATCTCTCAAACGTCAGTCCCTATTGTAGCCTTCACTTTCCTCGACACCCCTTGATGCACATTAAGCACCATACTCGGGCACACCTTGCCACGCGATGAAGCTTCCACTGGGAAACTTCGAGTCCTAGTCGAGATACCGGCGCTACTTCTTACTTTACAACTGTTCTACTCGGTTCGTTCCCAGTGCCATCACATAATTTCCGCATCTATTAAGGGCATCTGTCTTGGCCGGCCTAGTCGATTAGGGCCGCCGAAACTCATTCTGGAACGATGGCGTTGCATGCCGCGCAGGTGTTCACCACCATGGTCGGCAAATGGAGAGCTAACGTTTTGAATAAGATAGAGGCATCCGTTCATTATGCCCGGTGCGATCTCCTTCCCTACGGCTGATATTTCCAACCAGGAGACGCTCCACTGATAATCACGGACACCATGAGTGTTCTTGAGGTGTTCTTGATACTGGCTTTCGTCATTTACCTTAACTCCTTTTTTTATGTCTCCCGTTGCCGTCGATCCGTGAGTCCGTCCCTTGGCTCCGTCCTTGATATCCTTACCCGTGCTATGAGTTCAGCTCAACGTCCCAGCTGTCGGATGTGAAGGTTTTCTTGCATCTTACTGGAGCGCTTTTCAATTCATTAGAAAGGCGAATGTCATTCTCCAGGAAGGATACCAAAAGGTCGTCATTCTAAACGGTTCGATACATTGAATTCTGGCCTCATGTACGAGGGACACATAGCACAAAAATGGCGTCTTCAAGATACCCCTGGTGGACCGATGGCTTGTCGTCGTTACTGGGGACCAACTCCTCGATAATCTCCGCACCGCTCCAGAAAGTGTGTTATCCATGTGGGATGCCATGCTTGATGTGAATTGTCTTCAATGTTTTTTGTGTTGGCGATTTAGTTTTTTTTTTTCGTAGCTTCTTCAGCTTGATCATACCCTGGGCCGCCAATTTAGGGAAAATCCCTATCACGACTCCATCATCAGGACGACGCTCACAAAGAACCTTGCAACCATCCTGCCGAATATTGTTGACGAATCGATACATGCTTTTCCGGATATGATAGCGAATGGCCAGGAAGTAGATGGCGGTTAGTCAGTGAGATTTTTATTCACACCGACTACAAATTACTTTTTCATCAGGATGGATATCCATCGATGCGTATGATGAATTCTCTGCACTTGTATGTCGAGTGCTTCACCGCGTATTGGTGGGCAACCCGGTGTGTACGAATGGATTATTATTACACTTTTCACGCGAACTTCAACACAAATCAAATTCTAGGTCGCAATAAAAGCTATCTTCAGCTGAATATCCAGTTCTCTGCGGGCGTCACTACAGAAGCGACAGTGATAAATGCCTTTCCGCGATTTTTGCAGCCGTACGTTCAGTCTCCCATTTTCGGGGCATCATTGAATCTGCGCTTTAGATTTATTGGCAACTTATATAACAAAGTGTCTGGAAGACAAACCAGAGTTTTGGAATACTTAGGCCCCGAGATCGAAGAGCGAAAGCTCAAAATAGCTGAGCTTGGGTCGGATTATGAAGGGCGTCCGGTACAATTTACCTTATCTCATTCGCCTCCACTTTCTGATGAGCAGTACCATATATTTTGCACAGGATGACTTGATCAGCTGGTTGATGGACAGCGCCCCTTCTGCCCTCGAACGGGAGACGAGCTCAATCGCGTTGAGAGTGTTGATCGCCAATTTTATGGCGCACCACTCAGCCTTCACGGTAAGTTCTATGATCCTATTCCTAGGAACTTGTACACCAATGAAGAACTCATTTTGACGGTTAGACGTTTACTCATGCAGTTTATCATCTCGCTGCTGAGCCCTTTTACGCGGACGACCTACGAGAAGAATTATTGATGCACCTCAGTCATCCAGAGCACATCGAGAACTGGACGGAGAAGAATCTCGATCAGTGTTGGAAACTAGATAGTTTCCTGAAGGAGACTTTGAGGATGCATGGTATTGGCGCATGTAGGTGACTCGACTAAATCTTCTCCAAACGATCAGCTAATGCTACCACTGCGTTGATAGTGGCCTTACCGCGAAAATCCCTCATTCGCTATACTTTTCCGAACGGCGTGGTCGTTCCACCAGGCACGCTTGTAACTGCGTGCTCGACAGCCACGCATCTTGATGAGGAAAAGTATCCGGAAGCACACAAATTTGACGGGTTTCGATTCGAAAAACTGCGTGTACGAGCCAAGACCTTGGAACAGGGATCAAAACATAAAGTGACCAGTGCAAGTTCAAGCTTCCTTGCTTTCGGCGGTGGAAAACATATCTGGTAAGCATTGATGCTCTTTCGGACGAGGCCATAACAAAAGAAACATCATATCAGTCCGGGCCGGTTCTTCGGGACGTCGTTACTCAAATGCATGATGGCTCACCTTATCACCCACTACGACATTAAGATGGAGAATGAAGGAGTTCGCCCCTTAGATGACTGGTTTGGTCCTGTCGAGCTTCCCGCGAGGCAGGGAAAAGTTCTCTTTCGCAAAAGGGATGGGTGATAGACCTGCCTACTGTATCTGAGCTCTATCGTGCGTTGGATGTGACTGGATTCTCGCGAAAAATGAGTGTTTGAGTTTAGATAAATAGCGTGTCAGATACTCAGAGATCCCATGTGGCGAGAGGGGGCCAATTGTCAGGTTCGAGATGTTATCTGGTCTCGAGACTCGATCACGTCGGTGTGCTCAGAAGATCCTCTCTTGTTCCAATCAGCAATCGCATGCCGAACGACGGACAGATGGAGTTGTGTCGATCTCTACCAGAAACAGCGTGTTCTCAAGGGTTGTGATAAGGAAATTCCGATGATATTGTTTGTTATGAGAAACGTCTGTCTGGGGGCAGCATTGTAGTGGAATGGTCCATGGTTGGTAAGGGAGAACCCGTTCGGTGTAAGGATCTGGGCGTCCGGGGAGTCTGCGCTATTGACTACCTACCGCATGGGGTGGTTCATTGAATCTTTATCAACAAGCGTGAAAAACGAACTTGAATCAGGGTTTGTTGATCTGGTAGTACTTCCGCAGGTATACAGGGCCGCAGCTCTCAAAGATGCGGTCACAAACCAATTCCTCCACATGGTTTCAAAAACCTGGTTCTTGTTTCGTTATCATAGCCGCTGTCAAGAACCTTGTTAGCTAGATCAAAAAGCCAAAACGGAGACGTCAGGTGCAGTGTCGGAGATTCTACACGCATTTCCAATCTCCAATGTTATCCACCCAAAATATGTAGGTGCGAGTTCCACTGGGGGTCGACTGACGGCCGGAATCGCAGCCTTCAACAAGTCCTCCGAAGCTGAATGCAGTTCGACCTCAGAAGCGCCCATGATAACGGGTAGGCTCACTTTTTTTTCTTCGAGACAGCCAGACTTCAATGTTTTCATGCTGCCTGAGGACGCAGATGGTTGCTGCTGTCCAGTGAGGTGCAAGTTGCATGATTGTCAGGTTGATCATGAATTGATGGCGTCAGCTCGTTTCGGGTTTCCCCGACACGTTTTCAAGTTGGTCACGACGAGTCCAAGCAACCTCCAAGTTCAAATCAACTCCTTCTCGTCGCCTCGCTCATCGTACGCCTGTCGCTACCAATGCGGGGCGATCAACAAGAGCTGTAAGTGAGCAGGTCGAACTCCCAACCTCCAGTGCAACACCGCAACCATTCTCAACCTGCACACCAGCCGATTTGCGAGCTTTTCGTGTTAGTAGGACTACATACGTCCTGACTTTTTCTTTGCTGGCACTAGGTCCAGGTCTTATTCCACTAAATTTGGATGAAGTCAGAGTTCCTCTGGCCCGTCCGTGGAAGAACGCGGTGCGCACTATCTGATTCATTCCATATCCTTTGGACTATAATTCATACGCCAGAACCATCGCTCTAACTGCGCGGCTAGTTATCTGAACGAGCTGGATCGGACTGCCCGAGATGGCCGGTGAAGCTTGAAGGCTATATTCGTCTTTAAATTCTGCCGATTGGCTCGAAGTTAGCATGCTTGATATATGACTCCAGAAACGACGACAAGGTGTGAAGATAGCCCGCGCCATGTTGATAAACTCTGAACAGGTGGCCCCGCGATCAGTGGAATCAAGTGCAGATAACTCCTACATCAACTGCCTTGGTGCTAGCAGCTGTCAAGATGGCGATATCTGCAGCTGCAGTTAGTCGACTTTGGCGCTTCCCATCCAATCTACGCTCTTCAAGTTACATACGCTTCTCACCTTAAGCATCCAGGAAAGATAGAACCTGTCATGGCCCAAGTACTCCGAGGGTATTGTGTCCCCATGCTTATCATGTCAATTTACTTCGCTCTCTTGCCAGGAAGACTCATCGTCCCTTATTCGACTGGCATTCTCCCAACGTCTACTTCTCGTGGTTACTTACTGGTGTTTACAAAAAACTGCGCCACCGCTCTTTATCATAGATGCCCTGCATGCATTTGCAAATGGTATTCTGATAATCAGCGATGTAGAGTCAAACAACATCTCAACTTCTAATGTTTCTCATAGAGCCATTCTTACAAATAAACGGTCGCGTGAGGTCGAAGAAATGTCTTTTGTCATACTGTTGGCCTAAGTGGCAAGAAACGTAGGGCAAGCTCCAGAGTCCAAAGCCACTCGACTAGCATGGTTATCCAGGTCTCTTTCTGTCGGCCTCAAGGAATAAGACGATAAGTTACTACTGGGACCCACTTACGCGATTCCTTCATATTTATTCACACTTTCGTGGCTTCCCTGGATCTCCAAAGAAGTTCCGTCTCTGGCACTGTCACGGTTTTTTCATCACATGATGCACACCTCCGTTCGACTTGGAGGAAGAAACATATTGCGTCGTGTTCAGTTCCTTTCTAGCTACGCATAGTTTGTAGATAACCAAGTAATTGAGGTGCACTTCGTTGAGTTGAAGTTTGATTTGAGTTTGATAATGATGGACAGTCGGCTTTCGTCGGCTTTCTCCGCTTCCTCCCAAGTTCCAACCTCGCACTTCGTGCCCACCATGCTGGTGCCCTATGTCGTACCCCTTATCCTCCACCACGGTCGACGTACTTATCAACACGAAGAACGCTTTCCACGTTCGAGAAGTGTTGCTGACTTTCCCCATATGTGCAAAATGCAAATATCTTATTCGGTTCATGATGGTGGCTGACAAGGAACTTCGATGTAGGGTTATAAAGCGGGTTCGAGGTCTTTTCATGCACGCACCACCACCATGCGTTCACCACACTCTTTTTTCAATGTTCTGGTAGTGGGGGTTGTGCTCAGCTTGGCTGCTGTCGCCTCAGCACTTGGGTCATCGTGCAGGTATCCTTTGGGTGCAGGGACTGCTGGTGCCAATGACGCGTTTTGGCTGGAGGATATCAAACACCAAGGGACCGCTCCTTTCCATCCTAATGCAGCTAGTTACGAGGTCTTTCGGAACGTCAAGGTATGGAGCAATCTTTCGTTGTCATGGGTGACCGACGCGAGCCTGTTCGAACAGGACTTTGGAGCTGTTGGAGATGGGGTGGCGGACGATACTCTAGCTATCAAGTAAGTTCCTTGAAGTCGGGCCTTCATCTTCCACTGACAAGTCTTCCCTTAGTGCTGCGATTACGGGTAGCGGACGCTGCGGCGGAGGTAGTTGTCCTTCATCGACGTTCGTGCATCTAGTCCTGGCAAGGTTCATTTTCCGGCTTACCCTACCTCTACAGCATTTCGCCTGCTATTGTCTATTTTCCCAAAGGGTTCGTATAGTGCATCTTCTCGCCCGTTACGTGGAACAACTTCTCTTCTTCTTCAGAACATACCTCGTATCCAGCCCAATCATAGCTTATTACTACACTCAATTAATCGGCGACGCTAAAAATCTCCCAACCTTACTCGCCGCGGCCAACTTCACTGGAATTGCTGTCATTGGTACGCACCACACTCAACTAAAACACTTTCTGGACTGATCGTACTTGTCGGTCACGTAGATGCTGATCCATACATTCCCGGTGGCAACGGTGCCCAGTACTACATCAACCAAAATAACTTGCAAGTCAAGCTATTGCTGTCTTCTCTTCTATCATATCACCTAACTAGGCCACAGTTTCCGTTCCGTCAGAAACTTTGTCATTGATCTTCGAAGGTGCGCTACAATCATTACGTTCATACAGATCAGTCTTCTTACTGTAACTTACTTGAAGAGTTCCTGTTACTCAATCAGCAACTGGGTTCCATTGGCAAGTTTCTCAAGCGACTTCGCTGATGAATATCGTCGTTGAGATGTCGACCGATCCTGATACTGACCATCAAGGTTAGTGCCTTGCATATCAGTATTTGAACTCGCAGTGAACGTAATAATACAGGGATGTTTATGGAGAATGGAAGGTACTTTTGATTTAGACTCGAACAAAGGAACCTACGCTAAAGGTCTTTCTGATAGCGGTGGTTTTATGGGTGACCTTGTCTTCAATGGAGGTAAGTTGTTTTTAGACAATGACCCCTCCGCACAGTTGACTTTTTCGACGCCAGGGAAATACGGCATTTTTGTTGGAAATCAACAGTATGCTTTTCAATATGTCTAATGGCACATTAGCTGACCTTGGACTTCCCATATAGGTTCACAGTCCGAAACATAACCGTCAATAACGCAAAAACTTGCGTCTTTCAATCATGGAATTGGGGTAAGGGAACTCACTCGTTTCTCGACCTCCTAGGATTGACTGGCATTCGCAGCTTGGACTTATCAGGATATAACGTTCAACAACTGCCAAGTTGGATTTGACGTAGTGACGGATAGCCAAGTACGGCAGTTTTGCATTCGTTTAGAGTTTCACTGACTCCTTCCGAACAGACTGCCTCACTAGCCATCATAGACGCCGTCGTTACGAACACGCCCATCTTCCTGCGTACCTCAAACCCCAGTAACGGCACACTTGCAGCAGCCTCGCTGGTACTTAACAATGTGAAGCTGCAAAACGTTTCGGTTGCCGTTGGTGTCGTTGGGGGTGCCGTTGTTCTTCCGGGGGGGTCTATCACGATCGAATCATGGGCCCAAGGAAACGTTTACAAGGGGACGAACCCCGCTGGCGTGTTTACCCAGGGAAACATACCAGCTCCGAAGAAAGCCCCCCAACTTCTCGACAGTCGTGGTCACATTGTTGGTCGTACACATCCCCAGTATGCAGATTATGCCGTCAGCCAGTTCGTGAGCGTCAAGGATAATGGGGCTAAAGGTGATGGCGTTACTGATGATACTCAAGCTATCAAAGCCATTTTCGCCAAAGTACGAACTCAATGATCTCTTCCGTTCTTCTCTAATCGATTGGCGCAGTTTTCTGGCTGCAAAATTATCTTCTTCGATGCTGGTGTCTATGTCGTGACCTCAACCATTACGATACCCGCGGGTACTCGCATTGTAGGCGAAGCCTGGACTACCCTCATGGGGAAGGGCTCAGCCTTCCAAAATCAATATCAGCCCCAACCGATGTTCAGAGTCGGAGAGGTAGGCTCTCAAGGCATCCTAGAGATTACCGACATTCTCTTCACCACAAGTGGATCAAGTAGGTTCTGTTGAAACGTGCTTTATCTTATACCTGCTCATGTTTTATCTCCCCATCAAGACCCAGGTGCTATTGTTGTCGAGTGGAATGTGAGGGAACCAGATAACGCTCAGGCCGGTGCTGGAATGTGGGATTCTCATATCAGGTATTGAGACTTCTTTGAAACGGCCAACATTGTTTACAATCCCGTTTGTGTTAGGGTCGGTGGTGGTAAGTGACGTGCCTACTCTATTGCGAGATTACCCTCAAAACGACTCTACTAAGCTGTCGGCACAAACCTCGAGGTAGCACAATGCCCCAGCAGCGGTGCTGGTGGTATTAACAACTGTTTCTCTGATTTCTTGAGTCTCCATCTCACTCCTTTATCAACGGCGTATCTTGAGGTGTGTGGCTTACTATCCATTTTTGTTGATGCTCAGTGTTTGCTTAATGCAGGGAACTTGGGTCTGGGTGGCTGATCACGACCTTGACAGTAACGGCCTCTCGCAATTGAATATCTACTCCGGTCGAGGCATTCTTTCCGAGTCTTTGGGACCTGTGTGGATGATTGGCACTGGTAAGTTTGTGATTTAAGCCGAAGATTTTTGAAGCTAATGTTCCGTCAAGCTTGTATGTCTTTCAGATTCTGCGTTTGAGTGTGTTAACTCATACGAACTCTCAAGCGGAGCATCACACTCTCTACCAGTACAACGTCGTGAACGCCAATGCCCATTACATAGGCTTTCTTCAAACCGAAACTGTGAGCATCTTACATCCTGGATATCCGCGTCGATGTGACACGTATCGCGATGCAGCCCTACTACCAACCCACCCCTGCGCCTCCCGCGCCGTTCAGCGTGAACCCTCTGTTCAAGGACCCAACCTTTAGCCCCACCAATCCTGCTGCCTGGGCCCTCAACGTGTGTAACAGTCGAGACATTCTTTTGTTCGGTAGGGTTCACTAAGGCACTTGACTCATGCGCCATGTACTAAAACCAACAATCCCGTAGGCGCTGGACTCTACAGCTTCTTCCAGGTCGGTTTCGTCATTATGAAGTCCCTTCTACGCTCACTTACCTCCACCCCACAATAGGACTACAATCAAGCATGCATCGCATCGGCTACCTGTCAATCCCAGATTCTCAACATCGACTCGGCGTCCACAATCAACGTCTACGGTTTGGCAACTGTGGCGACGACGTACCAAGTGAGCGTTGATCAGGTTGGGATCGTCAACCAGGCGAACAATACCAACGGCTTCTCGTCAACCGTTACCTCATGGAGTGGAAATAGGTTCAGTCCGGCTTCTGCACATGTCAGGTCGCAAAAGGTTTATTATTAAATCGTTATACCCTATGTATCCTTATACCTAAATATACACTCCTTGATACCGTTGCTTCGTTGGTCAATCCCGTGATATACAATCCTTGGTGTCATTGCTTGTTGCTTGACCCTAGAGCAAGAAAGCAAAAAGTGTCCCAGGGAGGATTCGAACTTCCGGCTTCTCGGAGTAGCAGCAACCACAACGAGATGATTTAACCACTAATCGACAAGGACTTGTTGAAGACTTCATCCGTGTAAGATATCAGTCACCCATGATCGAACGCTGAACTGCAAAGACCGTAATGTGAAGTCAATACACATACTACAGAGATAAAAAGATTTTTCTACTCTAAAACCAAGATGGAGACAGATATCAGTCAAGGTTAAGATGTCCTGCCGAAAACATATGGTTTCTAAGGTCCTGCGATTCAAATCAGCAAAGGGGGGCCAGAAGAGAGAGAAGATGGAAGACGCACCCCTTTTTTCAAAAACACAGCTTCACAAGGACCATCTTCCCGCCATTCACAACGATAAACAAACTCGTGGCCATTAGCATTCACCTCCGCCTCACTCAGCCCCTTCTTCCCAAGGTAATCCAGCTTCGCATTCGCCTCATTCAAGTCGTCGCTCAACTTTGCAGCCTCCTGCTTCCAGTTCTCCCGCTCGACTTCCAGATGCATAATCTGCTCGTTCTTCCGCTTGATCTCTTCCTCCATATTTGTGATTTGTTCCTGCATAGACTCGAGCTCTTCATCGAGGTCCTCGCACCTCGCCCTAAGCTCGGGTTCCTCAGCAGCACGACGACGTATCTCGTCGTTGGTGCGGTCGATCTTCTCCCTCATGAAGGTAGCCTGCATCCGCCATTCCCTGGCGTCCCGCTTAGCAGCTTCGATATGGGTCGCAAAGACGGCTTTGACCTGAGCAACGCCAACCTTGGCTTGTCCCTCCGCTATCTGAACCCGCTTTTCCAGCTCCATGTTTTCACTCCGAACTGACAACACAAAGCTCGATGCTTTGGAGTGTTCCGCACGGAAAAAATCACGGTCTTTCTCTGCTGACTCCTTGAGTTCTATACCGCGTTGCAGTGACGCATTCATAGCTGCCCGTTCCTCTTCCCACTTCTTCCTCTCCAAAGCAACTATCGCATCGGCGTCTGTCACATGTCGTTCAGAAGGTTGAGCGTTCGCTTGCTTCAGCTGCTCTCGGAGGGAAGCCATTTCCGCAAGAATGGCCGCGTTTTTCTCTTGCTCAGCGACTATGAGCTGTTCCATCTGGTAAATCTCGCCCGACTTCTTGTTCAAGAGCGACATCGCCATTTCAAGGTGAGGTCGCTCATCGTCAGTCTGAATAACAAACCGTCAGTGAGATGTTGAGCACTAAGTATGTACGTCGACGTACCTCTATTTCCGGAGCTTTGGCAACTGGAGGTGTTTCATGACGGGTTGAGTTAGTCGCTGGAATTTCGGGCTCCTGAGCCGTCTCTTGCGCTTGACGTTGTTTGTTAGCAGAACCCCTAGAGGACTTGGATTGCGACCTCGAGCGTGACTTGGCCGGAAGTGGAGGAATGCTAGGTTCCCTCGGGAAAGTAGGAGGTTCGTTTTCATTAGACGGTATGGGTGGGGATGAGCTAGGTTGTTCCATAGAAAACTAGGAAAGTGGAGAAAAAAGTCAGTCGACTCATGACGGGATTAAGAGAAACCAAGACGTACGTCAGGTATATTATCCTCCAATTCACCCTCAGCGTCCTGATCATGCAGGAGAAGATCCTCCTCATGCACGACGAAATCCTCCTCCTCACGAGATGGTTCATCTTGCTCATCTTGCTCATCTCCACTTGGCTGCTCATCATGCCCATCATCCACAGGTACACCCCACCCAGCATGTAAATCCACATCCACATCCACGTCCACTTCTCCCACTCCACGTTGCTGCTGCTCATACACCCAACGCTCTTGCAACAGATCCTGAGTCGACTCTTCTTCCTCTTCACAAACAACAGACACGTGCTTGCGCGGTCCAGAATCGTCCGCTGAAGGCTGAGTCTTCTCCTCGTCCTGTGTTTCTTGTACGTCATCAACCTGGATAGGATCGTCATCGGCATGTTCGTTGTTCTTCGCACTGGTGTGAGACCGAGAGGGAGAGGGAGAACCAGAACCAGAAACACGAGAAGAAACAACCGAAACTTCCTTCTCCTTCTCCTCCTTCCCACGCGCAACCCCCGCTTTCGCTTTTATCTCATCAAGCGTAATCCTCTTCCTCCTCTCCTTCTCCTTCTCATCCTCCGACCCCCTTACCCGCCCCGCCGCCTTGGCCAACTCGCGTCCACGTTGTGCAACGTACGACGACGCCTTATCCGGCGACTCAAACTGCTCAATGGAACTCATAAGCTCGTCTTCCTCCTCCACAGGATCAGCAGTCGATTCGATTAACGACGACGAAGGGAGGTGGGGAGCGAATGCCGAAGGTGATATCACTGGTAGAGGCCGGAGAGGTTTCTTGGTGTTGTGGATGCCCACAGACCTATCTGGTGTGGCTTCCCTGCTGACTAGAGAGAGAACCGTAATGTCTTGATTACAGGCATCATCATCATTCTCGTATGGTGTTTCGAAGGGGGTACCGAACCGTTCTTCATCAATCACCGATACGCGCGAGCCACCCCGTGAGTGCGGCGAGCGAGGCATCATCTTTGAGATTAGACGCTCTGAACGTGTAGCTGTGAGGGGTACGACGATAGATGGCAATGCCGCTTTTTCTTGATGGGGCTGGGAGTCCTGAGACTCGGTATTCCGATTAGATGAATCCGTCTCTGTTTCAGGTACGATTTCAGGTAGAGTCGGTTCTTTCCTGATCCTGAGGATGTTGGTTCGTGCACGGAGGATAATGTCTGCCACGCGTCCTGGAAGGTCTTCAGGTGTATGTCCGCGGCGGATACCGTTCGGTTTCGAGGTCGTTGTAGATGGCTTGGCTGGTATAATTTCTTCCTCGGGATGGACTGGTTCTGGGTGATCGACTTGCATTTGATCAGGATATGTCAACTCCCCAACGATCGATTCGTCGTCCTGTAAATCCCCGTCCTCCAACCTCCCGCCCTCGTGCTCGTCTTGATCAAGGACAGACGGCGCACCATGTTCCGGCTCTTCATAGTGGTAATCGGGCTCCGGCGTAACAGCAAAGAACAAAGGCACCTTGGCCTTCGCTGGCTCTTCCTCAGCCGCCGGTGGTGTCTTCAGTTTAGATGTGATAATCAATTGTTCCCGTGGCTCTTCCTGGACCGGTACCTCCCGATCATGTTCCTCCAAACGTTGTAGCGTCCTAGGCGTCAATATCGGAGTGTGACTGCGAGGTCTTGGCTTGGTAGACGTCGTTTCAACAACGTCGACCTCTGTGGTCTGTTTTTGCTTCCCATGGATGAAATTTCCCCGCTTATCGTAGACCAACACTTCGATTTTCGTCATAGTTTTGATCGATCCCGCCGTTCGCTTCTGTATGTGCGGCTTCTTACCGGCCGCGCCCTCCTTCTTAGAATCTCCAACATCAACATCATCGTCGACATCGGATTCAGGGGGAATCGCGTCCAACATCTCCTGTATATGTTCGGAGGCTGCGGATGAAGAGCTCTTGATGCTGATCACTTCATTATCGGTGTCTGGATCCGGGCGCGCCTTGCCCTTTCCCTTGTTCTTGACGGTTGGTCTAGCAACGGGAGTAGGGAGCCTCATTTCTTCATCAGAACTGTCCTCGTGCGCCTGGGCGCGAGAAACGCTTCTCTTGCCGCCCCGTGTTGGCACAGAAAGTTTACGGGTTGTACGGGCGGCTTCTCCGTTGACTGGTTCTTTCCCCTTGCTCCCTGACGAGTTTGCAGGCTTGGAATTAACTTCCGGGTCGAGTTTTCGCTTTTTCGCAGGGCGGGTTGACTCTGCGTCGGGATCTTCCTTGAATTTCTTCGCTGAGCTGGAGGTGGAGGTGGAGGAGTGTTTGCGTTTAGCTGTTGTGGGAGGTGGAGGTGGTGGCATGCCGTCGTCGTCAGAGTCTCCGGGTATCGGTGTACGTGTAGTAGTGGCGGATTGACCTCTTTGCTTGAGAGTTGTTGTAGTCGACGAAGTACTGGGTGCCTTGGAGGCGCGAGACCTCTTAGATGCGGTTGATTCTCGTTTCTTCACTGTATATCCGTCAGTCTAGATACACAGAGATCAAAAACAACTCACATTTCATCCTCTCTTCTTCCCCTTTTTTCTTCTTCGCTTGTTTAAGCTTCCAGGCGTGCCTCAGGTCATCGGTAACATCATGTTTCGCGACCCAAGATTGAGGCCACGGTTTGCCCGTTTTTGGGTCAACGCCGTCCCACTTGACCTTGTACATTCCCTTCCTCTCCGCGGTGATGTGGAGGACGGTCCATAGCACCTCGTCGTCCCCTTCCTGCGGCACGAACTGCGTTTCTTCAGAGGATACCTCGACAATTGAGGACTCGGAGTCTGATCGGCCCATAGTTTTCCGAGGAACGGTGTGGTCAGGAGACAACGATGGTAGACGATGGTGAGTGTGAACTATGTTACGTAAACAATGTCATCTAATCATGGCGCCAAATGTGGTTGTTTGTACATGTACTGATACAAAGCGAGGCGGCCCGACGGAGTCTGAGAGATGTCTAAGGTTGTTTTAGGTAAGTATTCCCGCCCCCGCCGCCCGACAAATGACTCAGTAAAGGAGTGACTCGTGGTCTTCGTCGAGGGTTTAAAAGGCAAAAGGACCCCTCACTTTCTCACTTGCCCCCCACCTCGAATCATGTCAACACTCGATCGCGACCTTGCTGCTGTGCGCAATGCCATCTCTAAAAAGCAGCCCTTCGTCACTGGTACCCATCCTCTGACCGACAACTCTGGACTCTTCTTTTTTCGAACCGGAGGCGGTACAGGGTGAAACCCTTTCTCTATTCCCCCCGTCGAGTCGTCGTCACGGTTCTGATTTTTGTTGAACAGAGCACGTTGTATAGACCTCGCCAACGCCGACGACGCGAGCCTTCAAGTATTGCTAGAAGCGTGTCAGCCGGCTCCTTTTGGCGTCGACAACAAAGATGTATTAGATGAAACTTATCGAAGAGCTTGGAAGATGGACAACGCCAATTTCGCGACGCGCCTTGACGTCGTTAACACCGGAATCTTGGAAAGTATTCGCTCAATGCTTATGCAGGGAAACGAGAACAAGAAAATTCGGCCGGAGATGTACAAGTTGAATGTTTATGGTGAGTTCAATTCAAAGTTTGTTGATGAACGAGGGAATTCAAGGCGCATATATGCAGGTTCTGGCTCTTTCTTTAAAGCGCACAAGGATACTCCCCGCGGCGAGAACATGTTCGGCTCACTCGTTGTCGTTTTCCCTACTCGCCACGAAGGTGGAGCCCTCCAACTCCATCACAAGGGCCAAGAATGGACGTTCGACTCCGCATCCATCACTTCCACGCAAAACGTCCCTTCAATCGCTTACGTCGCATTCTACGGCGACGTCGAACACGAAGTATCCATGGTCACCTCTGGCTACCGCGTCACCCTGACATACAACCTCTATTTCGACGACGACACCACATCCAATCCGAGTCCTTCCTATCATTCATGGATGAAGGAAGACGAACTTGCACTCCGCACATCCCTATCCGCCCTTCTCAACCATCGCGATTTATTGCCCGACGGCGGCTATCTCGGTTTCGGTCTCGAATTCATGTATCCCGTCGCGCGAGGGACCATCCAAGGGCTCATCAACTCCCTCAAAGGAAGCGACGCCATGATCAAACTTGTCTTATCCCAACTCAACTTCCAACCCCAAGTCAAAATCATCTACGAGGATAACGAGGATTCATACCCTGAAGGTGAAATGTACGCTGACCAGCTGCCCCTCAAGAGGCCTCACATCATGTTGGACGACGAAGATGAACTTCCGGACTGGGGAACCGAGGATCCTTTTCGGGTTTCGTTACCCGAAGCTAATCACGGTATAGTGATTTGCGGTGCGGATGAGGTTGGGGAATACCCGAACTACGGCCGTGGGGTCATTCGGGCTAAGAAGGTGTTGTGGGTCACGCCACAGACGACGTTCAACAGCCTCAAGTCCCCTTATGTCGCTTATGGAAACGAGGCGTCGCTTGGGTTCAGTTACGGAAATGTGTGTCTCGTCGCGGAGGTTCTGCCTTCGGGGAAGCGAGTGAAATGTACTACATAAACAGCAACTTGTGTAGGATGTATAAATAGTCATTTCGACTTTTTCTCGCTACAGCATTTAATTACATCGAAAATAGGCATGAAGGACTTTGAGAAGTCAAAGCTTTCCATAAATATTTTGAAGACCTCTTCAGTAGTAATCACTTTAGCTGAGTTGTTTTTCAAGCTTGTACGCCACCGTCTTGTCCTCTACCTTTGAGAAACCTATTAATATTTCCGGAATCACCTTGATGGCGACTTACTTTAATCTATCTGAGCAAGTCATGTAATTCTTACCTTCGGGCGCCATCGCCACTCGTCGCAGCTTGGTCGCAGCGACGACTCGAGGCGTTTTCAAAAACGGATATAAACCAGAATAAACAAGCAGTCACAGCCGCATCTCTTCTTTTCATTCTTTACAGCGGCCCCACGGAGTCTGAGAGATGTCTGAGGTCGTTTTAGGTATTCCTGCCCCCGCCGCCCGACAAATGACTCAGTAAAGGAGGGAGGGTCTTGAAAGGTCAAACCAAAAGGACCCCTCACTTTAATTGCTCACTTGCCCCCCACCTCGAATCATGTCAACACTCGACCACGACCTTGCTGCTGTACGCAATGCCATCTCCAAGAAGCAGCCCTTCGTCACTGGTACCCATCCTCTTACCGACAACGCTGGTCTCTTCTTCTTCCGTACAGGACGCGGTACAGGGTAAACCCCTTTCGCCATTCCTCTCATTGCGTTGCCGTTCTGATTTTCTTTTCGTCCGAAACAGAGCACATTGCATAGACTTCGCGAACGCCGACGACGCGAGCCTTCAAGTATTGCTAGAAGCGTGTCAGCCGGCCCCTTTCGGCGTCGACAACAAAGACGTGTTAGATGAAACCTATCGAAAAGCTTGGAAGATGGATAACGCCAATTTCGCGACGCGTCTTGATGTCGTCAATACCGGAATCTTGGAAAGTATTCGCTCAATGCTTATGCAGGGAAACGAGAACAAGAAAATTCGGTTGGAGATGTACAAGTTGAACATCTATGGTGAGTGCGATTCATAAATTGTTGATGAAGGAGAGAATTTACGACGCATATACGAAGGTCCTGGCTCTTTCTTCAAAGCACACAAGGATACTCCGCGCGGCGAGAACATGTTCGGCTCGCTCGTTGTCATTTTCCCCACTCGCCACGAAGGTGGGGCCCTTCAACTCCGTCATAAGGGCCAAGAATGGACCTTTGACTCTGCCTCCCTCACTTCCACACAAACCGTCCCCTCAGTCGCTTACGTCGCATTCTACGGTGACGTCGAACACGAAGTCTCCATGGTCACTTCCGGCTACCGCGTCACCCTAACATACAACCTCTATTTCGACAATGACAATCGGAGTCCTTCACATCAAGTTCATTCCTGGATGAAAGAAGACGAGCTCTTACTCCGCACCTCTCTCTCCGCCCTTCTAAACCACCGCAATCTATTACCATCCGGTGGGTATCTCGGCTTCGGCCTCGAATCCATATATCCCGTCGCAAGAGGGTCCATCCGAGGTCTAATCAACTCCCTCAAAGGGAACGACGCCCTCCTCAAACTCGTCCTCTCCCAACTCAACCTCAATCCCCAAATTAAAATCATCTACGAAGACAACCAAGACGATTACCCCCCAGATCACTCTTTCAGGGACAAACCCCTACCACCTCTCAAGCGGCCACACATCATGTTAGACGATGAGGACCAAATTCCCAATTGGGATACTGAGGACCCTTTCAGGGTTTTGTTGCCTAAAGAAGGACATGGGATCGTGATTTTTTTTTTTTTTTGTTTTCTCGAGATTTACGTGCAACAAGTAGTCTAGTACTAAGACGCACGGGGAACGTAAGGCTCCCCTTAGATGTAATTAGGTCTGGTGTGCCACCACTTATGTGGATGGGATCGTGATTTGTGATGCGGATGAGGTTGGGGAATATTCGGATGGGTGTTATGATGGTCAGGTTATTCGAGCTAAGAAGGTGTTGTGGGTTACGCCGCAAACGACTCTTAACAGCCTCAAGTCCCCTTATCTGGCTGAGGCGACGCTTGGGCACAGTTATGGAAACGTGTGTCTCGTCGCGGAGGTTCTGCCTTCGGGGAAGCGTACTACTTAAACGGCAACTTGTGTAGGATATATAAGTAAGGATACTCGGGAGGCTTTACAGTAGTAGCTGTAAAACCATGTAAATCAAGGATGTTTCCGGATTGTCGAATTGTTGCAGAAGCGCGGCGATCTTGGGCTTTGGTGTGAAGCGAGCGCCAAGCGAGCGTTCCCTGAAGGTTGGTTTCAGGGACAAAGTTGAAGGGACAACGTTCTTCGGCTACACGTATGCCAAAGCGTTCCCAGAATAACTTTGTCGAGCGGTGAGCACTAGCGTTCGCTATCGTCTGGAGAATTTCGAGAGAACTCTGCGTTCACGAAGTGTATATCGTATCACGTGGAATGAGGTCGGATGGCAAACTTGAAGCGATAACCGCAAGCTAAGCCTCCAGACCAACTCAAGACTGTTCTTTTACTCGCCGACTAGCTAGTCTGTGTCTTTTTCCATATGTCTTTACTATTCGCTGACCCTCTGGGATAGATTTCTCGTGTATATCCACCCCCGCAACTTCACACATAGTGACATCAAGCCAGATGACTTTCTGATGCGCATTGGAAAGAACGGTACCCAACTCAATGTGTTCGACGTTGTCTCACCAAGAAGTTCCGTGACCCAAGACCCACCTCCACATTCCACACAGAGAACACAAGAACTTGACGGGTGCTGCTCGGTGCACATCGATCAACACCCATTTGGGTGTTGAGCAAGCACGTCGTGATGACCTCGAATCTCTTGCTTATGTTTTGATGTACTTACGCTGTGGAGCTCTTCCTTTACAGGGTATCGAAGCTGCAGAAATACGATCGCGTCATGGAGAAGATGGCCCCCTGCTGACCTTCTCTCCCGTGGATTCCCAAATGGATTGGGATATTCTCGTGCTCTTCGCTTCGTCGACAAACCTGACTACTCCTATGTTTGCAAACTCTTCCGTCACCTCTTCTTGCGGGAGGGGTACAAGTACGACTACGTATTTGACTGGAGCATCCAGCGAGGAGCCCAAGATGACCAGGCAGCAGGATCCAGCTCCAATGCAGGCGGGGCAGGAAGGCGCAAGGTTGTTCAGGAGGATGACGAGCATCGTGCTAGTGATAGAATGTGAGTACTGCATACCGAATTAATTACGCATCCTACTAACGTTTTGTCCGTCCAAGTTATGTCCTCACACCAGACAAGCACAACAGCTGCCCCTGGAACTGTGGGCCAGCAGCATGGCAATCGTGGAAGGGACGCTGAACTTTGATGAATGGGCTTGTCACTTATTTGATCTGTCCGTTTTCAGTATGCGCATCCCGAGTGTGACTGGGCGATTGGGGGGTAGCGGGAGGGTTTCGCTCAGTTTGGTTAATGATTGGTTTGGCGGTTACCCTTGTGGGGGCGGTAGACGAGGGTCTCGCGCGGTCGTAAGAGGTTTCCCTGTGCCCTGAGATTGCCCTGGAACTATGGTGGCAATCTCCTCCAGCTTACAGCTGCTTACTTCGCCATAAATCATATTGTACTAGTAGCTTAGTTTCTCCTTCTAACAACACTTGCGACAGTATCAACGCAACATTGAGAAACATATCACTTGAGAACTTCAAATATGCATGTAAAAACCGCGGGATTGTGACCAGTAGCAACGCGTACCTGATTTCACTCGGAGATTGAGCAAGGGGTCCGAAAGATGGAAAGCGACGGGGAAGCGAGCAAACGTAAATCGGGCGGAAGCGATGGCCAAGCCATCACTCAGTAAATCCAGTAAATCCAGTGGATTTACTGGTAAATCTCTCAGAAATAAGTCCTTAGGTGCACTTATGCATCATATTTGGACTTTACACCAGTCGGACTAGAAAACTGTGTTCTTTCTAATGCCTGATAGCACCTTAGTGAATCTATTCGGTTCTATAACTGTTGTCCTTGTACAGACATGTTTCTATCATAAATTCTTTAGTCAAGCGCGACGCGAAGTTCACAGCGCAGCGCAACGCAACTGCAGCGCGACGTGAACTTTTACGACGCGTAGTTGACACGTGAGGCAAAGAAGCACGTGATTCAACGTTGAGCGTTCGAGCTTTGCCACCACTCGTTTTTTACCTTTCCTGCCCAGTGTGTGCATGCTGCACGCTGCTCGCCTTGTCTATGTCGCTTTGGTCTATCCGAGCGCCAGCGAGCGAGCAGCTGCGGCTTAGGCCAGGCAGAAACGACCGGGGCTACGTTTGCCATCTGTACCATGCCCACTCACAACATCATCTCTGCGCTCATTCACGGGCCCCTCTATTCATCCTCAATTATAATGCTGCGTGCACAATGTCGCCAAATTGAAACCTTTGGAAAGGAGAGTCAATAGTTAGGAGGTTACACCCTCGACACCTTTCTCCACCCTCCCTCCTCTTAGAAACTATGGGAATCCCTGGCATTTGGAATGTACGGCACCCAAATATTTTGCGGTTCTCTCGAAACTGATTTTCATCATTAGATTCTGCTGAAAGCAGTTCAATCGCGCGCTTTCACTGAGCTTACAGTGTTAGAAGGGTTTGAGGCAAATCGGCGTGGAGCTCGAACCCTCTTGATTGGTGTTGATGCAAGGTATAACATTTATCTTCTCATCTATTCATGAGGGAAGCTGATCCAGTCACTGTCAGCATCTGGCTGAACCAGACACAATCGATCTTTCATGTACCGGGCATGCATTACCAGGCCGGTGAAAATCCTGAGCTCCGATCTCTTTTCTATCGCCTGGCACGCTTCCGAAAGCTCCCAATCCACCTTGTTTTTGTTTTTGATGGAGAACACCGTCCGTCCATTAAACGGGGTGTCAATGTTTGCACCAAGGCACATGCACTGACGAGCTCGTTCCAGGAGCTTATTGAGCAATATGGCTATAGTTTTCATACCGTTGAGTTCACCTTCTGAGCTATTTCTCTTTGAGACTAATCGAGGCCCACTTATAGGCACCCGCAGAGGCGGAAGCAGAACTGGCAGTTGTCAACGCCCACGGGATCATTGATGCAGTCTTAACCGACGATGCGGATGCGCTCCTTTTTGGAGCAACTCATCTCATTCGAAAGTAAGTGTTCACTTTGATATCTTTTCAGACAGTTTCTTACCGATTCCCAGCCCCAACGTTAAAGAAGATGGTGACGACATCAGGATTTACACAGCTGATGCCATCCGCTCGACTTTGTCCCTCACGAGTGGTGGAATCCTACTACTTGGGATACTTAGTGGAGGTGACTACGATCCGGTGAGCCAGTTGTCACCATGATTCTCTTTACCACAACTAACTCAGCCTAGGTTGGATTGCAGGGCTGTGGTATGAAGACGGCCTACAGCCTCGCTCGTGCTGGCTTTGGTGATGATCTACTGGATGCCGCCAAGACCTGCACACCGCCGGAACTGGAACATTTCCTCGAGAAATGGCGCAGTCGCTTATGCACGACACTTCGGTACAACGACGCTGGTCACCTTTCAAGACGCCAGGTTGCCCTTTCAAATAGTGTACCCGCTACGTTCCCCGACCCCAAAGTCCTTGCTCTCTATGTCAACCCTATCACGTCGTGGTCCCCTGGCCAGAAACTACCCAATACAACTGCATGGATACCTCGAGAGGTCAACCTCACCAAACTAGCTGCGTTCTGTGAGCGCTCATTTACCTGGGGTACTTCTGAAGGTATCCTTTCATGCTTCCAAGAACACGTTTGGCCCGGCATGACTCTTTATCGACTGGTTGAGGTTTGTCAATATATTCTCTCTTCAATCTAATATTTACTAATTGGAAATTAGGAAGCTAATGTTGATCCTACCACGATGCTTACAGCACATTTTGCACAAACTATTGCTGAGGGGACATTTGGTCTCTCATCCATCCTTTGCATCGTTCGACAGCAAAAGGCCGGGAAAAAAGCAGTTTCTGGTTACACGGTGGAAGTTCAGACAGGCCATCTCTCTACAGCCACACGCTCTGGTCTTCGAGGTCTTCGAACGTTCACCGAAGCCACCACAAAGTCCACGGCAAAGACAAAAACTTTGTCGGGGTTAATGATGGTATGGATCCCCTGCTCCATTCTTGAACAAGCATTGCCAGCCCTCGTCGCACGCTACCAGAAGGCACAGAAGAGTAAAAACAAGCCCAGCCTTGCCACGTCATCAACCTACAAAGTCGTATGTCATCTTCTCGGAGCCCATTTTGGTTTTTGCCTTACATGTCTTTATTGTTCCAGATATTCCCGAAGCATGTTCCTAGTGCTACCACCATCACTGGGAATAATGTACCCGTTGCTGGGCCTAGCACAGCTCCCGTTGCTGGGCCTAGCAGTAGGGCCGTCGCTAGGCGTAGTGTCGGACCAATCGCTATGCGTAGGGGGGTTTCTGCCACCATTGCTGGGGGTATCATGGCACCTATTGCTGGGCTTACTGTGGTGCCCACTGCTGGGCGTAGCATTGCGCTTGTTGCGGAGCATCCTGGTAGTTCACCGAACAACGCCATTTACATTGATTGAAAGGTTCTAATATCATGTATATTCATATATATATATATTCTGTTGTGGTCGCATTCAATTTTACAGACTTTTCTATGTACACAACTACCTGTTGCAGATGCATTCTATTTCACGGACTTTTCTATATACCCCAGAATATTATGCAAAAAAAACAGGCATCTGTAGATTTGGCTTTTTCGGTTCCGTTCGCTTGAGGTGAAACTTGGGTGAAACGTGAATAAAAGTCAGACATTTGCATACAGCGACTGACTACCTCCAACCAACAACATACATGGCCAGAAGCAACACCACGAGAAAACCAACGGAATGAAAGACAAAAAGCCCAACAATGGACCTGGATACCTTGCAAGCCGTCCGTGACGCCAGCCTTCTTGAATTCGGGAAGTCCAAAAACACGAACAAAGCATACGCTGGCCACATTGCTCGGGGGAAGAAGTTCCTTGCGAATGTCGTGGCCGAGAGGAAGGCCAAGGGTATTGAGGTGTGCGACAAGGGTATCCCGACAACTGAGCTTGCCAAAGCATTTGACAAACCACCGAACCGCTACTCAGCTGTTGCACTCGAGTTCTTCCTTGTCCAAAAGGTTTTTACCGAAGAGCTGTCTAGAAGCTATGCCGAAGGGATTCAAGGGGCCTTCGCAGACTACTGGGACAAAATGTGAGTGTTACGTGGATATGATGTTCCCCTAGTCAATATGAAACACACCCGCAGGGATGAACAGATGTATGCTGGTGCCTATGCTCTTGATAAGGCCACCAGTATCGTTACTGGATGTCCAGCACGAGCTCCAGCCATCCATGATCTCATGAAGGCTGTTAAGACTAGAGCAGGCACCAAAGGGGCTGCTGCGACAAGGAAGCATGCTGAGGCGATGTCGCTTGAGGACCTGCAAAAGATCATGGCATGGTCAGAAGAAAAGTGCCCAAACGAGTTTTTTGATAACGCACCATCAAGCGCTCAGTCCGATGTTGCTCTGATGAACGTGCATGGCCTTATGCGGGCATTATGTCCAACTCTTTTCGTGCTGATGTTGAGGTATGATGATAGCGTGAATTCCTAATTTGGCCTGCATCAGCTAACTATTTCACAGAGTATTTGAAGGCTTATCCTTGCAGAATGCCGACATCACACAGGGACTAAACGGTCCTGCCCCGTACCACTTCCCATTTTTTGAAGTCAAACTTGAGGAGCGGAAGAATTGGCAAAAGCAAGCTGGCTACGATGGCCCACGTACCAGTATGTATTTAGTCTCTCCACCAATAATTTAGCCAATCTGAAGGCCTGTTTCGAAGGTGGAATTTATCAAATCTACAAACAAGACATCGCAGAAATGGACATGTATACGCACCTCCCACGCTGGTTAAAGCTTGGTTAAAGCATCTCGAAAGTCGCATTGGCCGCAGCCTCCAGCCTGATGACTTCATCTTTCCCTACATTTCGCAAAATGGCACTATCGACCCCAAGCGTGCAATGTCATACGACACATTCCAAAAGCTTCTAGTTGAGTTTGCTGCTGGCGCTGGCCTCACCAAAGTATACACAACACATTGCTTCCGACGCGGCGGTGCCCAGTATCGTTTCATGTATGCACCTATTGGTCACCGTTGGTCTTTGAGCATCATCAGGTGGTGGGGAGGGTGGGCCAAAGGCGAACAAGTGAGTTTCAAAGACCATCAATCTGTGTGTTTATCATTGAATCACGTCAAAAAGGTTGATACAATGATCAAGTACCTTGTAGACTCACTCCAAAGCTATGAGACTGGCCATGGGAATGCACTCTGTCCCATTCCAAACGAGGCTGACAAGAGCTTCATGGGGGAGCACATCAATCAGGCACCACCATCAACTGAAGAAATTCGTCAATGGAAACTCGCCATGGATCGCAGTCTCGACAATGCTGTTTCTGAGATAGTGGGACAAGTGACAGCTGCCTTTGCAGGCACTCAGCTCTCTCAATCCCCCAGCCCTGAGCCAGACATGGCCACGACACCGTCATCTAACAGTGTTGCACTCCAAGAACGAACTATCCGCCATGGTCGAGATAGCCGCCTCTCGACCTTGATGCCATACCATCCTAGGCCATCCAGCCGTGCCCAGAGTCTTGGTGCATCTAGTAGTGGCGACGATACGGACAATTCAGCAGCCGTGCGATCTACAGGGTCTAACCCCCCACCTATCCCTGGTGTTGTCATTCCCGATGTGAGGAATTGGCGTGATGTGATTCGGCAGTGGGACATTGGTGATGCAGGGATGGTGGCGTTGAAGAACTGGCCAAAAGAATGGTACCAGGGCGGCATGAAGAGATATACCGGCTCCTTGTACTCTCAGCGAAAGAAGATTGCGGAAGAGTATGAACAGTGCGTACCATGAGCTTCTGTTGTAATCGGAAGGTTGCTGAATTACAGTTTTATCAGTTTGGGTCGTGATGAAGATACATTCCGGACAACTTACCCAGCAGCCGATAAGTCTATTAAGGCGCTCCTCAAGGCGATTCGAGTTCGGCACAATGAGTGGCGTCGAAGCAAATATGGCACACCCGAGGAGCGAGATGGCTCTCAGGAACAAAAGGGTGTGCCTTCTGAATCTGACACCTGATATTTCAGCCTGCCGACTCGTTAGATTGAAGGACACATCCCTTTCCCAGCCACAATAATTTCTTCTGTGCCCATAGCTATATCATTGAATTTACGGACATCATATGGACACTAACTACACTTTATGGACACCTGGTTTAATGCTTTGTATTGGATTGGACAATAAAAAATTAATAGCTATGCGACTCGGAAAGAACCTTCAGCCAAAAGCGACTTGGAGGGACCAGAATAAAGTCAATGCCCACTGTGCCACTCAAGACTTGATTGGACCCTGTAGTATACAAACGAGAGTTGATGGAGATAATTAACATAAATACAGTGCTGTAGTACAGACAAGAGGAGAGATGTAGGCCCAAGACATTTTACTTCGTGCCCACTAATGAGAACTTGCCCACTAATGAGGACTGTGTAAACACACTGTCAGCAATGCAGGAAAGGAAGAGATTTGAGGAATGACATACTTAGATGAAAAAAGTGAAGCGGTAGACATGGCGCATACTGGAAGCTTCAGTAGCAATGTGTTTGAAGATGTCGTTCATGAAGCGATCACCTTGTTGGAGATACCAGTGTCGGGGCGGCCCTGTTTGAAGACTGGAGAGGAGCTAAATTCAGTTTTAGACTCAGTGTATCAAGTGAGGCACGTACCCTTATAGATGAAAGACGCGTAGATTTCCTTATATACTTTCTTTCACTTCTTCTTCTCCCCATTAGCAGGCGCTGCAGCTTTCGCCATCGTCTTGGCTGCCTTTGCACCCTCTGTCAATTTTGGCTTGGAAGCGGTGGAGGCCGGGCTTCGCCAGCAGTGTATGCATGCCCGCTGATGGGAACTCTGCAAATACCATGTTAGCGACACGGAAAAGGGTTCACCAGGCAGAATGAGCCGACTTCACCCATTATGTATATCAAATGATACCCTGCTAAACGACGCCAGTGTCGCATTCAAAGTATTCAACATACTATCGTGGCGCCCTACAGCCCCGTTGCAATGCACTTCGGAAACTTGGGGTTGTTTGATTAATTAGGGTCTATGGTGCTGTTGAAAATCAGGGCAGAGCATGTAGCCATGGACGTGGCCGGAGATGACGAGATCGACGGAATACAGATTCAGCGTAGTTTCGAACGCTTCTTGACATTCTGCGCAGACGGGGCCGCTCATGTACCAAGGCCAATGACCAGCTAGGCAGTTGGCGGGGTAAGCAAAGAAAAACAAACCAGCAACGAAGCCATACATTCGAAGCCATCATTCACGAAGCTTTTGAGGAGGCCATTGCCTTGTTGGAGATACCAGTATCGGGGTGGACCTATTTGAGGAGTTACAGTAATGTGATGTGTTCAAAGAAATCACTCACAAAGCTGTTATGGATGGCACCTCGTCGGACATACCAGTGTCAGGGTGGATACCAGTGTCGGGGTGGATACCAGTGTCGGGGTCGTGGTCCTGTTTGAGGACTGAAGAGGAGCTAATCAGGTCACTTAGTAAGGTGTGTTACGCACCGTCGTATCTCTTGCTTCTTCTTCTCCCCATCAGCAGGCGCTGTGGCTTTCGGTGTCTTCTTGGAAGTTGGCTGCCTTTGCACCATCTCAATTTGGCGGGGCCTTGGAAGCGGTGGAGGCCAGGGCTTGCAAGCAGAAGCAGAAGCAAGTTTGCAATGTTCAACGTTATCTATAGTGGATGTAGACTCTAGACGATTGGATCGGTTATTATTGTAAGTAGTGACAGATGTAACAAGGACCCGAACAAGGCCGATAGCCGACGCCGCCCTGGAGGGCGATGGCAAACAAGGCCCAAAATAGCTCCAGGGTCTGATGCCATGTCTCGTTTCGGAAATCCGGGGAAAGCCGTCCCTGCCCCTCTCATATTTCAGCCCAAAGGTGAGTAAAACGTTCGACATAAGTAGTCATTTCGACGTTTTCGACTTTTTCTCGCTTTTCGAGGGCAGCATTACAGTTGCGGCGAAAATAGACAAGTCAAACCTTTCCGTAAACACTTTGAAAGACCCCTTTGCCTATGAAAGGATTCTGCCAGAGCAGTAACAATTTCTTTCAATTGGCTGAGTCGTTTTCACGCCGCCTTGTCCTCAACCTCTTATTACTTATTCAATACTTATTATCTTCCATTCTAGAAGAAAACAAGAAGAAAAAGGAAAATATGCGAATTCTAATTTTTGTGGATAAGTCTGCTCGCGCTCACCAATTCTCGAACTAGATCTAAACATAATAAACAGGCAGTCACATCCCTTCTTTTCGTCGCCACTTGTTCTTTATTTGGACCTCTCATCCAACTCTCATCAGCGCGCCTACTGGCGCAAAGCCACTACGGCAGTCACATCAAAAGTAAGTGAAAAAATTTTATCAAGTGATTTTTGTTGGTTACTCGTCGCCGAGCCGCTTGTGGGGGTTGCTCCTCACAATGCAATGTCTAGCATAAAATGTGTGGATTATATAAATAGTGACCTAATTTTGACAACAGCCATGAGGACTTATGTGCGGCACTAGCCACAACTACAAGTGAGAGTGGAGGAGTTGAATCATATGTATGTGGCATGATAGTACAACTTTGCAAGAGTATGTTGAACCAACAATCTTTTGGCTGGACTGCTAACTAAATGTGGGCCAAGGAAAGAAAAAATGGGAATAAGAGAGAGTTCTGATCTTGTGAAAAATTTGGACCCTATAATGAAGATAGGCATTAGCCCACAAGATAAATGATATATGATCCCATACATAATTGGAAGGGAATGTGAATTCTTGTAAAGATTACTGGGCTAAATTGGGTGTGAGGAATGGTATTATTAAGTTTTGTTGAAACAGTGAAAACCTACAAAGCCGGTTAGCTAAAGCAATTTTTATAATTGCAGCTGCAACTTCTGTGCTTTTTTCATCCAGCTCCTTGATGGCATTTTGAATATTTTGAGGGGCAGCAGATGATTGGAATGTGTGAAAAGAAAGTTTGACAATTTCAGGAGACTTGGAAGGTTTTTGTTTCCAAATGCCATAAGAATGGTCAGCAATGATGGTTGTGGCTGTATTTAATGTCAAAAATTTTCACAAAGTATACTGGAAAGGGGAAAACAGATATACCAATACACAAAAAGGCACTTTCTTGGAAGGTTGTATTGCCACCAAGCTAAGTAAAGAGGATGGTAAGAAGAATGATTTGGATAAGATATGTTTTATAAGAGCTTACAGGAGACCAGTCCACACAATGTAAGGCATCGTGGATCTGGATAATGGAGGGAATGGATAAGCATAAATGATTAAAGTGCTACAACCAAAAAAAGTAAAGGAGGGTGAATTACTTACAGGCTATGGGGCAAAATAAACAGTGTAAAAGTTATCCAGATAAAATTTCTTCATGTGAGACTCACAATCTGTAACACCTTGTGGTCAAATTTATAGAAGATGTGGAGTGAAAGATGAAACATACCTGGGTATTGTTGACAGAAAATCAATCAATCAGAGTTGATTAATGAAGGGAACATCAAGGTAAACCCTGACTTACGCGCTGCCCAGAACCCAGAGCAACCCACTGTCAGCATCATACAGAAAAAGGTAGCTAGAATCTGACTTACATTCTGTTCAAAATCCACAGTGGCCAATTGTCAACATTGTCTAGAAAAAGCCTTCTGGACCCTGACTTACATGCTGCTCAGAATCCAGATCAGTCCATTGTCAGCATCATGCAGAAAACACCTTCTGGACAGCTACTTACACACTATTGAAAACAGTCCATTGTCAGCATCATGAAGCAAAGGCCTCCTCAGCCCTGACTTACAAGCTGTTCAAAACCCAGAGCAGCTCATTATCAGCATTGTATGGAAAGGCCTGCTGGGTGCTCACTCACATACTGTTTATAACCCAGAGCAGCCAATTATCAGCATCATATAGAAAAAGCCTTTTGGACATGACTTACATCCTGTCAACACCCAGAGCAGCTCATTGTCAGCATCATGCACAGAAGGCCTTCTGTACTATGACTTACAAGCTGTTCAAAAACCAGACCATCCTATCATCAACATCAAACAGAAAAAGTGACCTGGATCCAGACTTACACCCTATTCAAAACCCAGAGCAGCCCAGTGTCAGCATCATGCAGAAAAAGTCTTCTGAACCCTGACTTACAAGCTGTTCAAAACATAGAGCAGCCCATTGTTAACATCATACAGAAAATGCAGTGTGGATCCTGACTTACATCCTGTTCCCAAAAGCAGCCCAGTGTCAGCATTATGCAGAAAAGGCCTCCTGGACCCTGACTCACATCCTGTTTAAACCCAGAGTAGCTCATTGTCAGCATCACACAAAAAGGCCTGCTGGACCTTGACTTACATCCTTTCAAAACCCAAGACAGCCCATTGTCAGCATAATGCAGAAAAGGCCTTCTGGATTCTGACTTACAAGCTGTGCAAAACCCAGACCATTTTGTCATCAGCATCATGTGGAAAAGACTTCCTAGGCCCTGACTTACAAGCTGTATAGAGCCCATTCTGTTATCAGCATCATGCAGAAAAAGCTTCCTTGGGCTTGACTTACATACTATTTGGAATCCAGACAAGCCCAGTGTCAGGATCATGCAGAAAAGACCTATTAGACACAGACTTACATGCTGTTGAAAGCCCAGAGCAACCCATTGTTAGCATCAAGCAGAAAAGGCCTCCTGCACCCTAGCTTACATCCTGTTAAAGACCCATCATCAGCATTATTCAGGAAAGGCCTTCTGGACCCTCACTTACATACTGTTCAAAACCCAGATGGCCTATTGTCAGCATCACGCAGAAACAGCCTTCTGGACCCTCACTTACAAGCTGTTTGAAACCCAGAGCAGTCCCTTGTCAGCATCATGTGGAAAAGGCCTTCTTGACTGTAACTTACAGCCTGTTCAAAACCCAGAGCAGCTCGTTGTCAGCATTATGCAGCAAAGGTCTTCTGGACCCTACCCTGACTTACATCCTGTTGAAAGCCCAGAGCAGCCCATCATCAGCATTACACAGAAAATGTCTCCTGGACTTTGACATACATCCTTTTCAAATCCCAGAGCAGCCCATTGTCAGCACCATGTCTAAAAAGCCAGCATCTGGATTATGACTTACATCCTGTCCAAAACCCATAGCATCCCATTGTCAGCATCATGCACAAAAGGCCATCTGAACCCTGACTTACATCCTGTTTAAAACCCAGACCATTTTATTGTCAGCATTGTGTAGAAAAGACCTCCTGGATCCTGACTTACACCCTGTTCAAAACCCAAAGCAGCCCATTCTCAGCTTCATGTAATGCAGAATGTGATTTCTACTTACAATATGTGGAAATTCTTTCCACATATGCATAATTGTTGTTAGGTGCTCCTCTCCACTTTTTGACCAGTGGCCTTGGGAATCAAACATGACCCTAACATGACTGATCAGCATTATGATTCACCAGATGATATTGAAATGAACAACCTTTCTATTCCATATTCCATTGGTACAGATACATAACTCTGTTGAACTGCAAGAAACATCTGTAAGATGGTGTCATCTGAAAGAACAGCTGCAGTCTTCTTCACAAGCAAACTACAGTCACTTGTAGTCTTATGCATATCTATAATATATCATCAGTTTACTGCCTTTGCAAACAAGAAAATTCTTTACCCCGAAAATATATGTGTTCATTAGGAGGATATTTCTTTGCATACAGCACATGGCCAAAATTTTTGTGAAAGTTGTTGATCGATTCTTCTTCAGCTTTACTTGCAGCATCTTCAATGCTCATCCCAGTTCCCACTAGTTGTTCTATTGTTCCAGCATCAAGCAAATCTGCTTTTGTGAACAAGACAATAATAGGAACTGCAGGAATCAAGAGAGGCTCATTTAGCAACTTTTTAGATATTTTAGATGATTCTACCCACCTTTGCCAGTCCCACACTCATCAAAGAAATCAAGCTCTGCCCTTGTAATTGGCCTTGCTTCATCATTTATTGGGATACAGTACCTAAGCAAACTGTGTTCAGATACCTCTAAGAGTAATTGCTCAGCCACTCACCATATTGCATGTAGCTGTTCCCCCATATGCTTTGCTCTTGACCGGTGCTGTATGAATCTCTTGACGGCATCCAGCTCTGAGGCCCTACCTGCTTCAAAGCCACAAGAGTCATGGAAGATGTATCCTGGGTTCCTGTCAAATATCATTTCATTCTCAATATTGTGCTCTCCTCGCTATCAGACGTTGAGTAAGAGAATTTAACAAAGAGGTTCTTGATTACCATTGCAGTTGGATTCAGCTCGGACAAGTCAATCTGTCAATATAATCACTCAATGGCATAATGTAATGTGTATAACACAAACCTCATGGCCCTGGAGATCGAAAATTTTGGGCTGTTCCGTTGTATTACAGATTCGCTGGAGGATGGTCGTCTTGCCTGCATTTGCCCGGCCAATGATAAGAATGCGGAAACGGCCGGTCCTTATTCGTAAATTTTTGGCTCGGATATTTTGTCTTTCTGGGTTGACAAATTGTGCTGGTTCGGTTTTGATATTTGATTGACTCGTTTCTCGATCCAGTGCTTGAGATGGTACCGCTGTCACAGTTCTAGACAATGGAAGTGGTGGAGACAAGTGCATACCTTGATCTGGTGCTTGAGATAGCGTTACAGTTCTAGTCAATGGAGGCAGTGGAGACAGATGCGTACCTTTGAATTTAGCTTCTCGTGCTTCTCGTGCTGTTCGGGTCTTGGTCTTCCAAAAACATAACTTTTTGAGGATTTCTCTCAACATTCTTTCTTCTGGTGGGGGTGCAAACAAGGGCAAGGATGCAGCAATGTATGCACCGGTCAGTAACTTTGCAAAATAGTTACCGGGTATTACAGGTTTTGAAAGTTGCCGGAGTGTGCAGAAACCTGAAATAGAATAGTCTAAACGGTAAAAAGATTTACAACTTCAGATCATGGCTCCCCGCCGGCATGCTTCTGTCAAATCAAACCCTAGCGGCTGGCGGTGCGAAATGCCGAAATGCAGAAATTGAACGAAGGGGAATGAGATATTTGTGCTTTGGTTGGCAAATGGTAAGAAATGCCAGTAAGTTGAAAGAACCAACACTCCTTTCCCCCAGACTCGAGGTCACAAACGAAAAAAAAAAAACGGGACGAGTTTGGATTGAAATAGACGCGCCACTGAAATAGAAGTCTTTGTGGTATGTCCGACGTTTATTCTGAGGCTGATGCGATGTTGCGGACATGTTCAGCATCGGACTGAAATGATTCTGGGGCTGATGCGATGTTGCGGAAATGTTCAACATCGGACTGAAACGAGTTGAGCCTTTCGTAAATGATTTCAACGTTGCAGTGGATAAACAGTCCTAACTCTCCCCCCGTCTCACACATGTGATGTGCTGGCAATCACCGGCACTCCATATATGGTAATTATACGACTTAGGGCAATGGCACATTGCCCTAAGTCGGCTCAAGAGCGCGTTACCGCGCGTTCTCGAGCACCTAAGCTACCCTAACCTCCTAACCTAACCACTAACCACTAACGTCCTAACCTTCTAACCAAGAACGCGCTACCGCACGGGGAAAAAATATCCCCAACCCTAACCATTAATAAACCCTAACCGCTAACCTCCTAACCTCCTAACCTTCTAACCAAGAACGCGCTACCGCGCGGGGAAAAAAATATCCTCAACCCTAACCACTAATAAACCCTAAGCGCTAACCTCCTAACCTCCTAAGCGCGCTACCGCGCGAAGAGAAAACCCCTAACCTCCTAACCTAACCAGTTAGGTAATTATTTTAATAATAAAAAGATGTGGAGCATCCAGAGTCGAACCCCAAACCTTTCGTAAGCATCACTAACACAGTGACAACAACCACTACACCAAACCGGCATATATGTCCAGGGTTTGTTGTGGAATATATTCCCCCACGAGAGGCCTGATTTGTCATAATTTCCCTTTATGGAAATGTGAGACGGGGGGATAATTGGGCTGGCTCAGTGGATAATGAACTTTGCCAATGCCAGCCAACTCTCCAAGAGCCGCGCGCCCAGGGCAGTAGGTGCAAATGAGACCTCTGCCAGGCCACGATGTCATGAACCTTTCTGCAAAAGGTGGAGTCCGTATACACGGCGTAAACTGGTAAGTATCCTGATCGATGTCGTCGAAAGTATGTATCTTCCAGTGTTGGGAAATTGGAAAAAAGTTCATGCCAGCTCCGCCGAATGGGGAAGACTTCGTGAACAGGGAACCCTAGCATTCCAGGGTGACAGGTGGTAAAGCACTAGTACTAGTAGGAGCCTTAGTAAACAGCACCGTGGTTCAACTTGCACATCAAGCCACAGTCCGGTCCGAGGCCTAACTTTAACACGCGCTAACAGGACTAGAGGGTCGAGAATTATGCTGTTAGATCTGGTAAATAAACAATTCCGCGCGAAATCGTGCCACACGCGCGAAACTCTGCCACGCGCAGAGTGTCCCACCCCGCACGCGTAAAGTTTTTACATTAGGCTTGACTTGATATACGCAGATACAAGTGCCATAGAACATATGTTGAGTACCTAAGTGGAACTTAAGACTGCTCTTCGTGCTGACATAGCATAGATAATCCAATAATTATTAGTTTTCTCAACCCTCATGAGCGCCCTCGTTCAAGACGAACCCTCAACAAACGGACGACTTCAGCACTGGTCCAGCAGGAGGCTGTAGGAGAAGAGCAAAAGGGAGAGCAGCTGGGAAGGGGACGGGTGGTCGAATGCGAGAGGACGAGCGGTGTCTCCTCGCTCCTCAGCCTCAGTAACATTCTAGGTCAAAGAACGCCTCGTCTTTGCCTTTGCCGATCCATGCTGACAAGCAGCTAGGGGCGCTCTTGCCGATTTCGAGGATGCAGCCCAGGAGTGTGAGTCCTTCTCGATGGAGCGCTTCTGCCCCTCGTGCAAGTGCTAGCGCGTCTCCGTTGATCATCCCACCCTCTGTGTTGGTGGCTGCTTTGAGTTCGGCTCGTGCCTCCTTGAGCACTTCTCGTGTTTCCCCGACGACGACATATGCTTACACTAGCGACACGGAGGAACCAGGGAATTCGAAGGACAAGGCAAAGGTTGACCTAACGAGAAGGTGACTGAGGAGATGGAGGGTGTAATGGAGGGAGAAGAGGTCAGCCTGGTGCCGTGTGATCATCTGCACCCTGCTCCACTGACTTTTGCTCGATCAGAGGCCGCTGGAGAACCCATGACGGTGTCAGCAAGAACATCATTCTCGTCAACGGTGTCGGGCCACGTCAACGTCTCCGTTCTTGTCCATTTCCACCCCCAGTCTCTCGGAGTCTACAGGCAGTGCATCACCGTTAACGGCGTCACAGTGCCTGTCGACGGCTTCCTACATCAATGATTCCACTCGGCGTTCAATCCCGTTAACGCACTCATTTGTCAATGCGCGATCTTGACCTCCTACTCGTCCCTCACCAAAGAAGCAACGCACTCGGCAATCGGCCTCAACCACTCCCTTTTATTCCCTTCCAACCACCTGAATTCGGCCATTGAAAGCCCAGGCACAATGTTTCTCATCGCCACCGTTAGGAACACGGCCGACAAAGGAGGCCGCTCGTTTTCGTCAATACGCAAGCACAATCCCTCTCGATCTCTTCCGTAACCAATCCCTTTTAATTATGAGGATACGCACCAGCAGCTCCACCTTCTTTCCAACCACATCGAGCTTACCATCAAGCCTTTGGATACCGAAGTCTTGGCACCACCGGACCAAACTATGGCCGCTCACTGCTCATGCGGCTCGACTTCAGCTCGCACTAGCAATACGAGGGGAATGAGAAGGTTGCAGGGACTGAGGAGAAGCTTACCGAGGAAATAGAAGTGGTAATGGAGGGTGAAGAGGTCGCTGAGGTGCCGTGTGCTCGTTCGCCCCATTCAACTAAGTTCAATACAAGATGATCCTACTGGAGCACTAGTTACGATGCCCGCAAGAACATCGTCTTTGTCAACGGCTTCGCGGCTCATGTCAACGGCTATTTCCATTGGGTTGTACTCCCCGGCTTTGTGTTCTTTGGGATGTCGTGCGTCTTTTCTGTCTTACACGCTTGCGTTGCCAACGTCACTCATTCATATTTAGTTTTGAGGCCAGCTCGGTATGTTTACCAGTGTTGTCAAAGCCTCCAGAGTTGTCGTAAGTAAAAGAATAAAATTAAAGTGAACAAGAAGAGAAAAATCGAAGTGTCCAAAGGTGAAAGCCAAAGGAGGATGAATGAGTAGCAAGGTATGATGTCATTCTTCAAGAGCGTTTGCAGTAAGTTGCCGGTGATGATGTCATCCTTTTTGTCTACATCTCAGATGATACACGGTTCCGCCCTTCATTCTTACCTCAACCATAGAACCCACCACAGATGTTGCACAGAAAGTGGCGTGCATCCACACCAATGCACACCCCTGCATGCCGATGCACACTCCTGCACGCCAAAAATCTCACAGGCGTGCCATACTTGCACACTCCTGCACGCTCGTGGCACGCCGAAAGTGTAGTGCCCATGTAAGTTGTCCCCCAAGGTTTGAATGTTCTTCTGGACACAGACACTGACATTGCAGAAGTAGGATTCAAATGACATTGCATGCAAAGTACGCCATGGAAACACATCAAGGTTCTGATCACGTGAATGGTTCGTGCGTGTATGACGTTCGTGAGTCTCATGTCAAGTTTCAACTCCGTTTCACAGCTCCAAGGGCCCTCCTTTCCTACATCCCATCTCCGCGTACTTCTGGTTACTCGTTCACTTTTTGGCTGTATAAAATATGATCCTGGACAAGAGAAGGGCGACATGGGGAATCAGATTGTCTATGGTAATTATCTGTTCACATTCGTTTGGGGATGGTTCGGCTAACTAGAACTGGATTTTTTTCCTATCCCGCGAGATCCACGGATCGGTCATCATGAACGAATAGTCCTCCTCATCAGACAAGGCAACCTCAACTGAGGCCGAGGGGATGACGGGAGATGTGGAAGCGGGGTTGAGCACTGCAGTTGCTACGCTAGGTCCATCCTCCTTCTCCGTCTTGATCTTCTTTTTACTGGGGCCTGCAGATGGGCTTGGTGATGCTAAACGAAGGCCCCATTCCTCGTCCGTCTCCCACTCTGACTCAGCATCGTCAAAGAGGGGAATCTTGCGCTTGAAAGTGGAGGAATTGTCCTTCGACGTATCATTCAGTGTAGAGTTGGTAATGTTTCGGGCGTCTTGAGTTGTGTATTAGACATCTTCTAATGAATATTGGAAGGTTCTCACCTTCATCAGAGCTTATCTCCACAATCTCCCGCTCTTTGCCTTTCTCTTTGAAATCCTTGGGTTCTAAAGTGCGGTGAGCCCTCCTTCATTGGATGCATAGCAGGAGGCTGACCTTTTTGTTTGGACTTCAGTCTATTGGATTGACGACCAGGTTTGCAAGCATCGCTGTTGGGAGCGCCAGCATCACCAGCGTCACTCTTCTCACTCGTGGATTCTTCACCATCGGAAACCTCCTGGAGCTTATCATAGTCGCTCTCTGTAGCTTTGGCACTGTTGGGATAAGTTTTGCGTGTACCTGAACATGCGGTGTGAGTTTATGATGACATACTTCCGCTCACAATTTAACTCACCAATCCAGATGTATGATTGCTCAGGTGATGTCTTGCTTCCTTTGTTTTGAAGAGCCCGTGCACCGGTGACCGTTTCGGCAGGAACGACTTCCAAGGTCCTGTTTTTCTTTGCGAGAAGGACGTACGGAAAGGTGATGTCACCATCCTCATCATCTTCATCGATGGTCAAGACCCACGGATTGTCCTTGGCTAACATCTTGAACAGCCTTGGGAGCTTATCATGAAGGAACGCATTCATGCGATTTGCTCCCCAACTGGATTGGAACTCATGAAGCTCAGAGTTTTCCCCGTACGTCACTGCCATTCCATCCTTCTCGAGTTGCTGCTGAGCGATGATGTCAGGTGCTCGTGTTCTCTTGAGTTTGCCCTCTTTCTAGATAACTGCTTTAGATTGCATTGCCTTCAAGTTTCTTCGTGCTTACATCCAGTCCCACAGTGACTGCAATAATGTTGCCAACGCTGGGGGCCTTCTTGTCCTTCTCAGTTTGTTTCTTCTTATCCTTCTTCTGTAAATGCACATCAGCAATATTCTATGTAAGTCTGGTTCATCAAAGCTTACTTTGTACGGTTCTGAAGATTTGTTGGTGTTCCGCAGCCCTGAATTCGCCTCCTTGCAAGCCAACCGTTCAGCATTGGTATTGCTTTTGACTACCACCTTTTGCGCAATGATCTTCTCAAAGATCTTCATGGAGCTCATCCCAACGTGCCGACTTTTTCCATGGCAGCATTCTCGACAAAGCACCGGTTGGCCATAAGGGACGTCGATTGGTTCATCATAACTTCTACATGGACATGCTGATCCACTTTCCAGGGTCATGGTACATATCCCCTGACCTGGAGAAGCTGATGTGTGTTGTGGAGGGTCGGGGGCCATGAGGATGCTTGGCGACGATGCAGGGGGTGTTTTAGACAATTTTCGAACTTGTAACACTGTGACGCTTATGACATAAACAACATTACATGCTTTGCTCGTCTGTTAAGTACAGTAGCTGTAGCATGCAGTCAAGTCCCCGAACCCACTGTTCTGCTCTTCGTCTCCAGATAATGTCAGGTAAACTTACCCGGATTTCTTTTCTTTTCTGCCCTGTTTTGATATGTTCAAATGTTGGATATTCACCATTCTCCCACTCTTCTTGTCGTACCCCATAATCTGCAGGGAGTAATCCAATCTGTCCTGCTTCTGTAAGACCAGCATAAAATATTGTCTCCATCTCCTCGTTGAAGGGACACTCTGTTGTTGGTACTTCTGAGGGCTCATGTCGAATGTGGTGTTGCTGGTCTGCTGCAACACGGTCTCCAAGGCCCTCATAATCGTCTTCTCCATCGTTTTCAGAATCTTCTTCCTCTGGAGGGTTCCCTGCGCCTGTTTGGTGTGGAGCACGATAAACACGGTGCCTGGTGGTGCCATAATATTTCTCCAAGGTGCTTGGCTGAACCCCATCAAACTCATCATGAAGATAAACACCGCTCTCAGTTTGTCCAAGGAATCGCATATCCTATGCTAGACTTTAGATAAGTAATACCTGATCTGTGGCTAGGACACATACGTTGGGTGAGCGGTCATTTGTATCAGGTCCAGAGACAGGATGTGCATTCCATTCCTTCTGGAACCGATGACAATCGTCGTTGATGGAAGGTAGAAATAATTTGTGAAGGAGCCAGAGATGTTGTGGATTCTTCCGATCGAGTCGATGTAGTCGCTCAAGCCTGGTAAAAAAGCCTCTCCAAGCACGAGCAAACTCTCTTCCAACTTCAACCCACATCCGTTCTATTCTGGTATTACGAGTTGAGCTAGGATGGATGAAGATCAAAATAAGCCACCAGTAAGTTTTGGTAAACTCACGAGCCCCACATGAATGATGCACGATTGGCACCATTATGCATGATCATCCAGACTGCCAATTCCAGGTTCTCTCCCCCACGATCGCCTCGCATACGAGAGGGCATCCCAAACTGTGCCGCGGCACCACGAAACACATCCAAGACTGTTGTTCCACGGTTGTTATTGCTTGCTTGCATGCCCGTCACCTGTTTGGGAGTTATTTGACATCGTAAAAGAGAGAATGAGTACCGACAACACGATCATAGCCATCCGTCATTCCATGTATCACAATACCCCAGAGAATTAACTTGTGATGCCCGTCACAATGCCATAATGCATTCGGCCGAGGTGAGGTATATTTGCGACGTTGAATAGCTTGTCGTTGTCGAAGTCTTTGACCAAGGCCATCGACACGTCGAATGGACAGTGCAAGTCGTTTTCGTTGAATCCTAATTCCACGTATTCGCAGAGAACCAACAAGATATCGAACACCAGAGTCCGGCTTATTTTGTTTGTACTGTCGTACCAAAGTATCGAGTTCTGCATTCGTCATGGCAGAAAATTGGCGGTGGATACCATAAAGCTTCAGGTATGATGAGAGGGTGTGGCGATCCATATCAAGCTGTCTAGAAAGCTTTGAAATGGATATGTTTCGATGCAGTGCCATGGCTTCCTCAAGATAAGAAGGATCCACAGCCTTTCGTGGTCGCCCACGGCGGCCAGTATGTATAATTGTAACTGGATCCAGATTTTCTACATTGGATGGTGATCTATTGAAGAATATAAGACTGTTCTGAAACCCTTTTCGAAGGCATACCGATCATTCACTCCGTCAATCGCAGCTCGCAAATGAAGAACCATGAGGCCCAACATCACGGCCACTTCTTCCATCCATGATATCGGGATTTGCTCTGTTTCCTGACTTTCTTCCATAGATTCCAGAATGGGAAGGGCGTCATTCATAATCTTCTCTTGATGGAACTTGAGACGTATCGGGTCAGCTTCTTGTCGCAAAACTGCAAGGGCATGGTCATAGACATTTTTAAGAATATTTCTGGCCATGTCTGCATTTGCAGACCATGCCGCTTGGTTGGCACCACGAGTAGGGAAAGGAGGAATTGTTGGAGGCAAGGGGGGGAGCTCCATACAGGGAAGAGTGTTGTCATGTACTATACAAACTTGCTTGATCGACGATCGTGTTAGTCACAATGGTGTTACACAAAAATTTGCTTTCCAACTACCATGGATTGTCCACGACCTCAGCACCACTCAAAGCACTACAAAGAACATGGGAATGTGATTATTCTGGTATGTTCTTTGACTATACAAAAGAAAGCAGCGTCTAAGCGAGATACAAGGTTGAAAACACACTATACAAATTAGAGCGAGGTCTCTTGTGTGATCTCTCTCCAGTGTTCCGGGATATGTTCTCCCTTCCCATACCCCTCAAGTCCCAACCAGAGGAGACAGTGGGTCAGGTTAGCTTTAGGGTAGAAGGAGAGGTCGATGAGCACCCAATCGTCTTTCCTGAAACAACTGTGGAGGAGTTTGATCACTTTGTGGAAAATTGTCTCTATTTTACGTGCGCACCAGTTTCATTTTATCTCTCAGCAGGCTAACTCTCCTTCACAGTTGGACACCTCCACCTGTTCCCGTTCAAGTCCATATTGATGTCTTGAAGTTCGCCCACAAGTTCGACCTGCGTGAAGATGTCAAAAACAGTGTTATCTTTAAATTGAGTGAATATCGCGACCCTCACCTCAAAGCCGTCGACCGCTTGAATCTGGCTCGCCTCTATGAGATCCCATCATTCATTCGGCCAGCATTCATCTCACTCTGCCGCATTACCCTCAAAATCTCAGACCTCCCCTCCATCGATATCCAGAAGATCGGCCTTCCAGCCTTCAGTGTCCTAGCAAAAGTTAAGGAAGCCATAAATGAAGAACGACGCATAATTGCATACCATGCTCCTGGCGTCGATTCACTTCCCACCAACGAAGAATGTAACAAATTGACCCACAGCACTGTATGTCTGAGGGTATGGAAGAAGGAGTGGTGGAGCAAGATCGGGAGAGGTATCCTGCAGCCGGTGCCCATATTCGCATGGGATTTTCCTGATGATGTTGTCGAAGCCGTGCAGAAGCTGCAGCTTCCTGGGGTGACTCCAGCCTGCCGTCATACCTTCATTAGTTTTGTAGCTTCCCATGCACATGCACTCACGAGACCATCAGAGTTGATAGATGATGGAGTCCAGGAGCTAGAGAGGCTCCTCTCAGTGGGAGCGTTGTAGCAGTTGGTATACGTAGCGACAAATGATGACTACAAATTTTCGCGCGGTGGGAAAATCTGCGCGCGGCCCACTTTCGCGCGGAATTATTTATTTACCAGATCTAACAGCATAGAGAATCGCCCTCTGCCACGCTGAAGATGTCCTTTCCGACGATTTGTCCATTCGGTCCGATATGTGTCCTTCAGAGCGGGGGAAAATGGATTAAGCGGTCAAGCCAACTATGATGAATGGGGAGAGCCTCGCGGCCTTGACAAAAGTTCTAGCATTCCAAGGTGACAGGCGGTAAACGAAGGACCTGGAGAGTGAAGAGAGAAGTATTCCAAGTCTGAGTAAACAGCACCGTCGTGTCAAGGTTCGAGGCCTGAGGCGCCAATAATAGTGACCCCCAGGAAGTGGCTTCTCCAACGATTTGGCCATTGGGTGGATTGGCACTCGAAGCAGGGTTTGGCGCAGAGGCTCTGAGGAATGCGAGCTCGAAGAAAAGTTCTAAGTATGTTTGCAATTGCTTATAAATTGCAATTTGCAAGCAGCTGCAGTTGCCAGTCACGCACACGTTCCTTCTCAACGACGATTTACAGCTACACGGGCCTCCACCTTGGACAGTATCTGGCTCTGGAAGCTCTTCAACGAACTATTGGTATACACTTGGCTAGGCGTTCTCTCAATATCATCACCACAAGAACAAAACTCTCAAGAATCACGATGAACATGAAATCGGTGCTCTTCTACAACATCGCTCTCTTTCTGGTCCTAGCTTCCTACGTCCAAGCGTCTTTATACCCAACTCACCCTATCAAGAACACCGTGTATCTTGCTGGAAAGGCGGCCGGGATCATGTGGATCGAGGGCGGCGGGAAGCCGCTGTTAAAAAAGATGGGCACGGTGCAGATTGATTTGTATACCAATCACGATGTGAGTCCGTTTAGTTTTCGTGCATTGACGCTGGGCGTGGTGTTGGCTAGGCGTGTTGGGCCTGTGAGGGTCGTCATCAGCGGCCCTGCAGGATGTTTCTTGTTAGAGAAATGTATCGGAATATATCCTTACGACTGTTATCACCCACAGACGTATGTCTCGACGCTGGCGAAGAACGTACCCGCCACCGCAGGCAGCACAACATGCTTCATCCCCGCCGATGTCCCATCGAACGTCTTGTCTTTGTACGTTCCCTCCCTTCCCCCACTCACTCTACATTCTTTCACTCACCTTCTCTCTCTCAGCAATCTCCGCTTCATAACTACCTCTCCCCCGACTATAATCTACACCGCAGACTTCTCCATACTAGGCGGTACCGGAGAACCCGTATATCCATTATCCGCGGAAGAGGAAGACGATCCTTCCGCCGACAACGGCGATGGGGGCACTCAAGATCCTAATACTACTACTACACCCGACTCAAACACTAACGACCCTCAAGACCCAACCGACCCAACTATCACAGATCCCAACTCTCCGGGCCCCAACCCCCAACCAAACTCAAATTCCACCGACACAAACTCAAGCACGAGCGGACCACCACCAGCCGTATCGACTATCATCGCTCCTCCTCTGGGTAAAGGCGAGGTTGGATCTCCCGCACCCACACCCACACCAACGCCGAACACGGTTTCGGGATCTGGATCAGGTTCTGGGACTTCGAGGTTGCCCTACAGCGCTGCGGTACGAAGTGATCTGGAGTCGCTTGGGTTTAGGACTGCGATTGTACTTTGGCCGGCGGTCGTTGGCATTTCTATGGCTTTGTGATTGTCCGACTTTTGACTGGATCTTTTGGCGCTCCTGGTGCGGCTTTTTCTGGCGCATATATTTTGTTCGTTCGGCGCTGGCGCTTCTGTTACGATCACGATCACGAACTTCAGCTGGGCAGCTCGAGGCTGTTGTAAATACTTATCCTAAACCATCCTAGACTAGAAACGAACAATGTACATCTAATTCACTCCCTTCTAATGTGTATACGTACTCCTACACCGGAATATAATCCCTTCACTTCCTCAATATTTTTCAACACGACCCAAAACTTAAAAGAGCGCCAAGACGAATTTGGCGCGAGCTGTCGCACCACGTGGTGTAATCGCCATCTGCAAATTTTTGAACTTTTCCCTCACTGAGCCTCTCCGCCAAACCTGGCTTCGAGTGCGGATCCACCCAACAGTGGCCAAATCGTCGGAGAAGTCACTTCCAGCGTGGCTGAGGGTCACTCTCATCTCCTCTATTGGTGGCGCCTCCGAGTCAGGCCTCGAATTGGCCTCGAGAGTCGAACCTTGAATTTCTGTGAAACCACGGTGCTGTTTACTCGTGCTCGTCTTCAAAGCTTCACCGTCCAGGTTCTTCGTTTACCCTGGAATGCTAGGGTCTTTCTTTAAGACCGCAAAAAGCTCCCCCTGTTCACCCCGGGCCCTTTTTGCCCCGCGCTGAAAAATACAATTAAGTACTGGTTCATTTACTGGGTTTATGCACGGGCCGCTACGTTTGAAGAACTCAGTAACACCGTAACCCGGCAGTGGGGATCTCATCCACAACTCTCCAAGCTTTTCTTCTTCGCTCAACTCCGCTTCGATTAGTATTACGGACCGGATGGACAAATGGTCGGAGGGGGCATTTATCCCGTGGCTGAGGGCCGCTCTCATGCCCTCTACTGTTGGCGCCTTAAAGTTAGGCCTCACGCATTGAACCTTGACTCGCTGTGAAACCACGGTACTGTTTACTCAGGCCCGGACTTCTCGAGTTCTTCGTTTACCGCCTGTTACCCTGGGCAACAATGCTTGGGTTTCTTGTTATAGCCGCGAACGCGAAGTCTTCCCCATCCAGCGTGGTTGGCTTGACCGCCTCTTCAAATTTCCCGATACTCACGTTTACTGGGTTTACGCTGCTCCGGATTCCACCTTCGCAGAAAAATTCATAGCGCTCAATAACACCGTGACCTAATGGAGGTCTCATTTGCATCTACTGGCCCGGGCGCGACTCTTGGTGAGTTGACTAGCATTGGCGAAGTTAATTCAACCACAGCAACGTTGCAATCATTTACGAAATCCTCGACTCGTTTCAGCGCGACCGTGACACTGAGTATCTCCGCAACAACCTATCATCGCACCAGCGTCAGGATAAACCTCGGCCATGATGTGACTTTCACTACGAATGTGCCCAAGCTATTTAAATCCGGATTCTTCCTGTTCTTTTCTTCTGATCTTGTTGCTCTCTTAAGGCTCTGGCTGTTGGCCCCAGCTTGACGACTAATCACGGGCACTTAGAACTAACAGCTGTTGTGCCTCCTGTCCCTGCACCATCGTCATAAGGGTCACGACCACTCGGCAATCTCCACTCTGCGCTATCCACACGTACGAAACGATCCGATAGATTCCTGCTCGAATAGACCCAGATCATCATGGGGCAGTCGTGTTCCTGGAACCGGGATGTTGACTCCCTCAAATTGACACACATCTCGATGCCTGACTTCTCTTCCGTCGGAATGAACGCAAGATATGAATAACATGAGATATAGGGCTTCGATCGAAAGCGTGCTGAACATGCGGATAGAAAGCGTGCTGTAAAAAGAACAAACTTTCAGCGTCACAACGCGATAAGAAAACATCATCATATAAAACAGACGGAGAGTAAACAAGGAGTGAAAGGCCTCAAATTCTCCCTTCGTCATCGATCAGCTAGACCACGGGTTTATCAAAACAAATGGCTGCCCCAGTAAGCCTTATCGTTTTCAGGATACGCTTCTGGTCCCATGCACAAGTAGACGCCACTTCAAGCATTCTTCGCAAGATATGATGGTTTCGACTACAACAATACTGCTCCTCCAACGAGAGAGTTTGGACGGCTGGCCAAGTTATACAAGTGGAAGAAAAATACCCCCGCGAAAGAAGCTGCATACAAGGCGTTCTGCACCGCCCTCGTTCTCGAATTCAATGCAGGTTTTGGTACTGATACGAAGGATCTGAACGTCTGGCAGGGATTGTGTGCTCGTGTCCGCATCAACCCTCTTCCAGATAGTATAACTGGCTGCCGCAAGGTTTGCTCTCTATTGTGCTAATTGGCGCTGGCGCTTTCTGATGGTAAATTATATTGGACAGGCGCTTAGGCGAACTCACGTAAACCTTATCGATTTAGTCGCCACGCTTTCGACGGGGCGCCCAGTCAAAACGTTCACAACGGTCAACTCGTTGCGTCAGTACACGATCTCGACCAAGAAGTTCTTTCCTAAAGAAGATGAAAATGCGGGAAATCTTTTGAAGTATTTATTACGGGGGATTGTCACGACTTAAACATGTGCATGACCACTGGTGCATCGAGTCGCCCAGCCAGGGATGTCATGGCACATTGCTCACAAAATACTACGTTGAGAAGAAACCTAGACTTCTAGTAATTTGCTTCTAATTATGACTGATATCTATGATAACGCTTCAAACTTCAAGTTCTAGAACGCCTTTGATCCTGCGCGTGGCCTCCGCGGGCGCTTATAGTTCCAAAGAGAGCATACACATGTTCACTTTCACGAGTCGGAGGCTTCCATTGGAAGATGCATGAGTCACAAGCGCAGATTTACTTACACACACAAAACGTCAGCTGAAGGATATATAAGATCGTACCCCGGACCCATAGAGATTGAATCACATTCGTCTCTCGCACCCCGTCGATAATGCCTTCCAAGCGTGGCACATGCCTTTATTATTCACAGGGTCAACTATGCCCCCGAGGCTTAGCGTGTAGATTCTCGCATGAAACCAGGATCGCATCCATTGCCAGTGGGAAATCACCCAAGGTAGCGAGCTTTTCAGAATAACCCTACGCATTAATTGATGGAAATATTTTTCAATAGCGATCTCGTAAACCGAAGTCAAGCAGAGGGGGGAGCGGACCCTTACAGGAATTTTTCAACAGCTACCATCCGTTCGTCTACAACAGTAGCTCATCGGCGAGCTCCGAATTTTATCGCCTGTGCGATCACTTCCACTGGGCGAGGGACGGCCCCGACCGCGAAGACGCACATGACACATTCAAGGATGCATTGGTCAAACAATTTAACGCTAATTTTGGGACAAACGCAGATGATCTCACCGCTTGGCAAGGTCTCTGCGCTTTGTTGGACGTGGATCCCATTCCTGACGAACTGGCAAGATGCCGTAGAGTGCGCGAAATTCTCATTTGAATTTATTGGTGGTTTAATGAACGGAATCCTTCAGATTGTTGAACGTACCCACGTCAATTTGGTCGACCTGACCGATTCCTTCACGTCCGGCAAACGTGTCACAAGATTCAAGTCTGAAGGTGACTTGAGCGAATACACGATAGAGCATGCTCGATATTTCCCAAGGAAAAATGTACATGCTGGCAACTTGTTGAAACACCTCCTCCGACACATTCACAACCCCTCTCTGAAGAGAGGCTGGCGTCGATTCTAGATTTGAGGAGTATGCTGGTGGGGAGACGCTCACCTTAGTAATTAATCAACAAGTTCTTGTGAACAGATGCTGTTTGAAATAGTGAGGAAATTTGATTGAGGTTATAAGGTTGTACCATACAGCTGTTCACCTTTGAAGTAATCGATAGTATCAGTAACCAGGTCGTCGTAGAGGGCTTGGTAAAAAGTGTGAGTTTTGAGAGTCCTGTAAGTCCGCGACGCCTTCAGACGGACGCCGTGTCAACGAGGGAAATTGGAGGGTTAAGACATGATAAGATAGCAGGCCTAAGCAGCCCTCTGGAATGGCCTCTAAGATCAGCACATACTACTACATGAAGGGGATCCACTCAAAAAACAAAGATAAGATCGATCATGGCTTTTGCATGGCTTGAATTACTGCCAAGAGGAGGCTCTTGTACTCAGCATCATCTTTGACAATCTAGCTATTGTTTTTGTGCGTGAATGAGTCGTCAAAAATACGCTGTGCAACTCACATTCGAACCGGCCCACGAAGTTATAGCCTGTATCTTTTAAATAATTTCCTAGTGAGAGGTGCGATGAAGCGACGCCGTGACCAAGCCGTGACCAACTTATTGATCTTCCACAATGATTCTCTACGGTCAACTACCTATTTCCGTGAGGCTTTATGAGGTGGGTCTTCTTCGGGTTCTCTTCATCCAACTCATTAGATTGATTTTTATGACGGACATTCGCAACTTAGGCACTAAGTATCAACTGGATGCCAGTACAGCCAAAGAACGTACGCAAGCTGGGGTTTCACTAATACCTCGTTCAAGAGGAGCCGAAGGGGAGGCTAGAGGATTTACGAAACCTTGGGGATAGTTCTTACCGAGATTGTGAGTCGCGCCATGCTCATTCTGCTGGCGAAGATACTTATCCAGAGTTTAGTTTGAAGACTTGTTGATTCATATTGGCCAGTTGTACGCGAACCAAGGTTATTGCCATTCTGTGGAAGAGTGCGGGGCGCCTCTCACGAATGTCATGACTTTCGACGCTTTACTTCAGCGGATGCGAATCTCCATCGTGTGGTGTTGGCACAGGGAATCACCCGTTTCGCGGAACGTCCGCGCTCGGACCTACGTCTCGCAGAATCCCTCAGGGAATGGTCGACGAACTTTCCATGAGCCTCGTCATCTACAATCAATGCTTGTCTTTTGAGAAATGCCAATGCCAACGCGGCTGATCTTGTCACGAAGCACATTCTCCGTACTGCCCCTTGGAAGGTCGTCGTGTCACGTTCCAGAAAGATGCCTAGTGGTTGGATCTTGATGCCTCGGAGGGGATGGAATGGGAAGGGCGCGACCTGACAATAGGTTCAACAGGTTGACTCTGAAAGTAAGCCTTGTTATTGGCTTTGTTGCGTAGGTACTTACCAATGACACTAGGTTCTGGCTCCTATCTCGATTTTCACTCACCACGTACGCTCTTTTTTCTTGAGCTGATGGTAACACCCGCATTAGGCTAAACTTCTGATCAACATGTCAAGGAAAGCTTCTGCTCATTTTGGTCAGAACGAGTGCTGGCACCTGGAACCTCGACTTCTAGCACTGCAACGCCATTCGCGGGCATGAACCACGTCGACGCGCATCTTCATGACAACTTGGGATCATTGTCCTCCAGGCAAGCCGGGGCGACACGTCAAAATTCTATCTACTGACTATTCGTTATGCCTACATAGCGTTTGTTTCCATTCAAGTCGCAATTTCACCTTCTTATTCCAACCAGAAGCACGTTCGCAACCGGGGTCTTCGATTTCATATATAGGGGCTGGCGCCGCACAATTTGTAACATGCGATCACGTCATACGTCATCCCTCACAAAGTCAATGCACGCCGTAGGTTGTGGAGACCGGAGGAGGAGCACAGTTCCGCTCGACTGTAAGAGCTTGACAATACTTCTTTCAACCGTGACCCCTTCCTCTCCGTAAGTACGCTTTCTGATATTCCCATTTTCTCTCGCCTCTAACGTAAGTTGTATTCAGATTATCAACTAGCCGCAATGTACCCTGGTCAACAGTACGTTCGCAACCGAAAGACCTTGGCGTGCGCTGGCACCATCGTGGACAAAATTGGCAACTTTGTAGAACTTCCAACCATCAGGCGGTGCCGTTCCTAAGCACTGTCCTCCGCCGGGGCGGAAGTCATAAGTCATGCCCTGTACTTATCTGGGATACTCAAATCACCCTTTGTTATTTTCCGCGGAAGCTTCTCGAGGCGATCCCCACCTCAACCCCTCTTGAAGACGGTCATGAACTACCGATGACACTACTCTGTTCTGTACTGTGAATCTAAGGCAGAGGCACCTACGGGTTCAATGTCGTGTATTCCTCGCTTTGTATTCAACGGATTCAATAGCAATCAGCTACTGTTCAAGCCCTCACAGGTGATACCGTCACATTTTCTGACAGTCACACCAAGCGCCTTATCACACACCATCACTTGAAACGAGGCTAAAATTTCTATTTCACTCAGTCTTCACCCATGCCTGCCGTTTAAAGCGTGTTCCGAGCACTAAGCACCTCCCTTTCACCAAAACCACCATGTCTACCGCGAGGGGTAGCTCAACGGGAAGCCCCGGCATTGAGATCACAGGTAACCTCTCAGATTTTTGCCCGAAGTCAAACATCTGACACCCATTGACTAGAGATCCGCGTTTCATCCCAGGACATCCTCAAATCGGTCCAGCTTTCTATTGAAACACATAAGTGGGAATCACCCTGTCCCCGGGACGCAAAGACCCACAAGGTAGTGTTGCCATCCCCCTGGTGAGCCGATGATCATGTGTAGCATTGGACGACAAACCTAGTCAAAGCAGTCAACTTTCGCCTTCAGAGCCCCTCTATCTGCAAGTCCGATTCCGCGGATGGTTTCATGTTGCGTCGAAGAACAAGATACCTCTTGATGAGCTGCTAAGCAAGGTGGACCCCCACTCCTCAGGAAAACAAGGCAAGTGCCCCCCTTTTGCAATGGTTCCTGCCTTACTGATGCTGGACTTCCTACTCTAGAATGGTCAAAATCATTTGACAAGTTCGATGTCGTCCTTGGAGTGAAGTTTAGCCAAAACGCAGGGGTGTATGCACTTCTTCCTCGAACCCAAAAGCGTCTGCCTAATGCTGGTGCGATCAATCTTAGAATGCTTCAACCGATGCAGAATCCTCGACGGGTGGCGACCTGCAACCAACAACGGATGTGTTATTCAAGTTGGTCGAACGGTCAGTCTGCTTAATCCCTGACTACTGTGGCTTACCTTGCTGCTAGGTTCCGAGTCCTGGTCATCGGCAACGTAGTTCTTTCATGCCTCTACCATCAGGTACTAGCTTACAGTTTATTTTTGTAGAGTGGTGTAGGGAAATCTTCCCTTATCAATGAATGCTTCGGCGTCACGGAAGCTGTGAGGCAACTTTCCCGCCCTGTTAAAATCCGTTCCTGAAGCCTATACTTCTCCAGAGCGTGTCTCACGCAATGCTGGTATATCAGATATCGGTACTGCGATCATAGCAAAGGAAAACGGAAGGTTTGTTCTGCACGATAGTCAGGGCTTCGAGCATGGGGAGGGTGACAACTTCAAGAAAGTCATCGATTTCTTGAAAGCTCGGAAGGACATGCCCAATGTGAGGGATCAGGTACACGCTGTCTGGTATGTTTACCGCTCCTCGGTTACTTGAGTGAACAAGATGATGAAGGTGTTGCGCAGGCTTTGTTTTCAAGTGTCCCTGTCTGAAGGTGATCGTTTGTTTGAGGCTGGGGTGGAGGAGTTATTCCGTATGAAGTCCAAAGGAGAACTTGGCCCTGGTAGGTTCTCGGTGCTCTCTGATAGACGATGGCTCACTGTTTAATTTAGTTCCTGTGATCACCGTTTTTACCAAATATGATAAGTTGGTAGAGCAGATTGAATTTGGTAACAATCTAGAGTTCCACAAACGCAACAAACATCTGGATCGGGAAAGCCGAAATGCACGTCTTCCTGAGGAGACAAGGGCGAAGTTTCAAGAATTGTGTCTTGGTCCCTTCGAAAAGTCCGTTAATAAAGACATTCCGCACATCGCCGTCTCAAGTAAGTTACAAAGAGATTTCTTGGGCTTGTGCTTATACTTGCCAACACAGCCAATAAAGAATACAAGGATACCAGAAAGATGTTGAACGAGCTTGTCCGTCTCACTGCTGACTGTGTTAAAAACTCTCTGGCGGTTGATAGATGTTGCGCTGGTCTCCGCCATCGCCCAACGCGTGAATCCGGCTGTGAAGATTAATGTCATGCTGACGCCTATGTCAAGAGTTGGGAAGAAACGTATGAGTTTTTCGGTGTGCCCCTCAGCGAAATTTCAACCAATCTACCCTTTCTTCGTCAGGTTATTGGATGGGTCTCGCGGCTAGCGTGAATTTTCCGGGAAAGACTATAGAAGCGTGTCTACAGGTTCTACACACCGATATCGTTCGAGTGTGTAATATTCAGGATCCTTGCGGGGTAAATACTTGAATTTCGAGCCCTCTCCCCGCACTTACGGCAATTGTGCTGTCAGTACCTGGAAAGCAAGGAACTGAAAACGCTAATGACCGCACTTGTTGGGAATCGACGTGACGAGCTCCGAAATCCCAACACAACCTTGTAAGTCAGTTGTGTCGACCTTGCCGCCTTATTTCTTACAAGCCGTCAGTGTTTATGCTAAGTCACTGCATAGTGCCTTGATGCCCATTTTGGATTCACTTCCACACGCCGCTCCCATCGTGGTTCCCATCGTTGCGACTGTCGTCCTTGTGAAATGGGTTTACGACGTGTGCGAGCAATCGTATGTCTTCCTCCCTATGCCATGTTAAAACGCTAAACGGGAAAAACTCAGGGCACTAATGTTACAACGTTTAATGGCGTACATCGTTGACTTCACAATTATTATGCAAGTAATTTTCGGCCTCGTGGTGAACGCCCGTTTGCGCCTTTCCCGCCGCCTGATCAAGCTCGTCCTCAATACGTACAATATTTCAGAGGAGAAGGGCACAGTTCATAAGGAGATCAAGGAACATGTGAAGCTGGCAGGCCGCTTTGACCGGGATGCAGCTCTGGCTAAGATCATCCAATTGGTCAAGGAGTATCAGATGAAACCCGAGAACATGGAGGAGTTACAAGCTAAGAGGTTCGAGAACAATGACGACGAGGATTGGGGCGTATGCGAAGCGTGACTTTATCATTCGGTTCCCTGTGTACTTTGTTGTCCGGATGCAAGTATTATAATCCGAACAAAAACGAACCGCGAAGCTGATGGGTTGACGAAAGATTACAAGTATGCCCTCCTGGGCATTGGTATAGGAGCAAGAGCTGGTGCGATGATTAAATGGAGGACATGCGCGAAAGGCAGTAACACGATTTACTTGCAGAGAAAGCTACTTCAACCTGTGCAACGCCTTCCTATGGAAACGCAATTTCTGGCTCCAAACGTTTCCTTCTAAACGCGAAAGATGACAGGGGTCCCTAGAGAGTTCCATGATACAGTCCATTGATTCGTACTACGACCGAGTGATTGATAGAACATCGTCGTTCTCGAAAGACGTGTATCAACTGCAGATGAGTAATCGATATGCTCATCGACGGTGTGAGAAAGGCCCCAGGAAAGGCTTGGGGGTGAATCCGATCATGAGGGACGTTCATGAATTTTTGAATGTTCTTGTGGCTATAAATCAGAAAGGTGGTAAAAAGTTCGACCAAGTTCCAAGTACTCACCTCGTGGGGATACCGAAGTAAACAAACTTCTGAACTGCACACCAAGAAGCTGGACGTGAAACACGGACTCGTAACGTGGGGACCACTGGGCACTGGACGCATTGTGAGTATCTCAAGTTGTTGACCTCGCCATGTATGTCCCAGGTTTCAAACGCATAGATTTTCCTATTCTCCTCTCTGGTTCGCAGTTGTAAAGGACACTGAAAGGTTCGGAATGGTTTGTGGGAGATTGTTGATGGTTTTGTAGGCTGGAATTCGTTATGTAGGTGATCGTTTTGTGTTAGTTTTGTGTGATCTGTCGGAGATTTATTTCTTTTGTCACAACCAGCCGAAATTGGGACGGCATTGAATCGGCATTCTAACCAGTGCTAACCGTTGAAAGTTCTTTATTTTTCCATTTTTTAGCCCAAAATTGGCTCCAATGACACCTAGGCTTTTGCGTGATGCAGAGGCAGTATGAGTCACTGCGTGACGAGAAAATAGCCAAAGTCAGGAAATCTGTCACGGCGCGCGCCAGACTCCGACGTATTTCCACTCGAGGTATGGCTTACATACATGAGTAGTACTACGAGGATTTGTAGTAAAAAAGGAAGTGGGTGGTGTTGAATAGTCGAGGCGGACCGGCAACTCCGGTATGCCGATCCCGTGCATACGCGCACGTACTAGTCTCATATAGGACACTGTAGATAGTTATAGTAGTTTGTAGTATATTCTAGTTACATATGTTTGTAGTATATAAGGGGGACTGAGAGTCCCCGAATTCATTACCTTCTCACTTAAACCACTACCCCTCGTACTCGCTGCTCCAACAGGTTATGGGCCCCGAGCCCTAAACATACTACACACACTATACAAAACTTTATCATACCGCTATATCACCACATCACAGACTTTATCATACACGATACCCTATCACACATTACCCTATCAATTACATAGCAGCAAATGGAGACCAATAATGGATCATCGAATGTTTACCGGATTGAACCGCTTAAAGGCGCAGACAATTACGCGGTATGGAAAATCAAGATGATGGACATCTTGACAGATCAGGGTCTATGGGACTATGTGGATCCCGGAACGGCGCCATCAGACGCCAACCAGAAACCAGCATGGGATAAGAAGGACCGGACAGCTTTATCGACAATAAGATTGCGGGTAGCTGATAAACTATTGGTTTATGTATCTAGCGCAAAAACGTCGAAAGAAGCTTGGGATACGCTAAAGGGTCTATTGGAAGCTCAAGGGCCGTTAGGAATAGTCCTTGCCCGCCGAAAGCTATTTCAGGCTAAGTGCGAGGATGGCACTAGCATTGAAGACCACTTCAGGACCCTGAGAGTCTATCAGGAAGAATTGCAAAATCTCGGACAGAAAATAGAGGACTCAGAATTCTCTATTATTCTACTTACATCGTTACCCGATAACTGGAATAATTACATTTCATCTATCGATTCATCTGCGCTTACAAATGCGCCGCAACTCATAGCCAGAATTCTTGAGCACGACAGACGGCTCAAGATTCAGGGCACCGAAGATACCGCCCTAGCTGCCAAATGGGGCAAGAAAAAATACAGTTCAAAGATAACATGTTTTGGATGCGGCAAATGTGGCCATATACAGGCAGATTGCCGATCAAAACCAAACGATCAATCAAACGAGAAGCATTACAAGAAGTCCAAATTTGGGGGAGCACGTGCAAATGAAGTCATTGATGATTTCGCTTTTGCAGGAATTGATAGCTCACCCGACATGGCATTCATTTCAGTGCCTAGTGATGCATGGGTAGCGGACTCAGCATGCACTTCTCACATATCGACACAGAGGAGCTATTTTAGTGAATATGCTCCAATATCAAATCACTTTGTTAAAGGACTTGGCAATCAGCCAGTCACGGGAATAGGGACTGTGAAGCTAATCTCTAATGTTGATGGAAAAGCTTGCACGATTACCCTAAAGGATGTGCTATATGTCCCAAAAGCACCGCATAATCTCATTTCACTCGGGCGCGTTATGGGCGCCAAGATACAAGTTCTATTTACGGACAAGGATGTGAGATTCAAGGCACCAAATCAGACGATCATGGCAAAAGGTACCAAGATCTCAAATCTGTACCTGATGGATGTGAAAGTCCCAACCAAACAAGACCACACTTATTCAATAAAAACAAGCGCACACACATGGGATGAATGGCATAGAATTATGGGACATTTGAATATGGCTTCAATTAAACAATTGAAGTCAAAAGGGATGGTTACCGGCATGGAAGTTGATGAAAGTGTTCCAGCAATGGAACAATGCCCAGCATGTATACTTGCAAAGCAACACCTTACACCATATCCGCAAGAATCCAAAGCAGAGATAGCGGAGATTGGTGATTTAACAGTGTCCGACCTCTGGGGACCTGCTCAAACAACCAGAATAGGGGGAGAAAAGTATTTTGCCACGTTTACTGATGGGAAATCACGACAATCGATGCGCTATTTCCTTAAGAAGAAATCAGAGGCGCTATCTAAGTTTAAACAGTATAAGGCATTTGTAGAAACACAAACAGGCCGAAAACTCAAGAAACTTAGAGTTGATGGGGGAGGAGAATTTATTGGAGAAGAATTCAGAGAATATCTATTGGATAATGGGATATTTCTCGAGGTCACAGCAGCTTACTCATCTTCACAGAATGGAATTGCAGAGCGCGGAAACCGAACTGTAGTGTCGGAGGCGCGCACCATGTTACATTCACAAGATCCACATCTGGCTTACTATCTTTGGCCAGAAGCTGTCAAATATGCTACATATCTCCGAAATCGTTCCCCCACATGTGCCTTAAGGGACGATAAAACTCCTGATGAAGTATTCTGGAACAAGAGACCTAATATTGCAAATCTACAAGAATTCAGCCGCAAATGTTGGGTTTTACAACAAGACAAGAAAAATAAAAAACTTGACCCCAGATCACACCCATTCATTTTTGTCGGCATTGACGACAGTACTAAAGGTTACCGTTATTGGAATGGCAACCAAATTCTAACTTCACGCAATGTTATCTTCTCAAAGGAAGACACGGAAATACGTGACTATGATGACGTAGAAATTCCGATTAATCGTCCTATGGAGATTGAGGGGGAGAATGATGAGCAAATCAATCCTCCAACAGACGATAAACTTCCTGATGAGAAGATCAGTACTAAAAATAGTACAACCGAGGAAACGCCGAAGCCATCAAAAATTCCACTCCCAACACGGGAAAAGTCTACACGCGTTGCCGAGAAATCACCTTTCCATTACAGATTCCTAAATAATCCTGCAGCAAGAGGCCCTAAGGAATGGCAGCACCAAGTACCAGTCCTTACAGAGGAAGAATCTAATTTTGTGCAAAACATGGAAACTTGTGATTATGCAATGTTTGCACAAAAAGCGCTGAATGCAAATGACGATCCGAGAGATGTTGAAGAAGCCAGATCCTGTCAAGATTGGCCTGAATGGAAAAAGGCAATGGACGCGGAAATCCATCAATTAGAGAATCTAGGGACATACATCAAGGAGAAAATCCCTAAAGATAGAGTGGCCATCAATTGCAAATGGGTTTTCCGCCTCAAGCGCGACGCGGAAGGCAAAATTGTACGGCACAAAGCAAGATTAGTTGCAAAGGGATTTTCACAAATCCCCGGAATCGATTTCTTTGAGACTTTCGCGCCAGTGATGTGCCTCGATACCTTGCGGCTATTATTAGCTATCGCCGCATCATACGGATTAGTCGCCCACGTTGTTGACGTCGTGGGAGCTTACCTAAATGGTGAACTCAAAGAACAAATATACATGAAGCAAATCCCCGGATACGAGGACGGCACGGACTCAGTACTATTATTACAGAGAACACTCTATGGACTACGACAATCCGGACGCGTGTGGAATGAAAAATTAAACAGGACTTTCATTCAACTCGGCTTCACGCGGCTATTCTCAGATCAATGTGTCTATATTAGGCACATCAGGAACAACCTCATCATCATCGGAGTTCATGTTGATGACATGTTAATTTTAGCTTCAGATGACGAAGCCATGGCAGAATTCAAAAGAGAATTTGGCCAAAAGTTTGATATCTCGGATCTTGGAGAACTCAAACAAATAGTGGGATTTGAAGTTCAAAGGGATCTCAAGAAGGGCACAATACATTTAACACAAAATCAGTATGTGGGAAAGATTTTGGACAGATTTGGAATGTCCAGATCCACGCCTGTCAAAATGCCACTCGATCCGAATGTCAAACTAACTAAAACTCCCAAAGGGGAACATCACGGTATCCCAGAATACGCAGTGGCTATAGGATCATTAATGTATGCAGCAATTGGCACGCGGCCTGACATTGCATACGCTGTTCAACATTTAAGCCAATTCACAAGCAATCTGAGCCCTGCACACTGGAGTGCAATCAAGCACGTGTTTAGATACTTAAATGGAACACGCAACTACGGGATAACGTATGGCGGCGGAAACTCTATTCCAGGTTTAGAAGGGTATTCCGACGCTGATTGGGGAAATAATGATCTTGATCGCAAGTCTATTTCAGGATACATTTTCCTATTCGGGAATGCGCCCATATCGTGGGCATCACGCAAACAGCGCACTGTTGCTGTATCCACAATGGAAGCAGAATATATGGCCGCAAGTTTAGCAACTCGAGAAGCGATATGGCTTCGCACTTTATTAACAGAAATTGGTTTATTACAAAATAAACCTACACTACTGAATATCGACAACCAATCTGCAATTGACTTTTCAAAGAATCAAGGGTCACATTCAAAGTCAAAGCATATTGATATTCAACATCATTTCGTACGCGAACGTCTCGGCGACAACTCAATCATAATAGAACACTGCACATCAGAAGACAATCTGGCCGATGTATTTACTAAGGCGCTACCACGCCCAGCTCATGAGAGATTCACGTCTCGCATCGGCATAGATTCGGAGTTGAGGGGGAGTGTTGAATAGTCGAGGCGGACCGGCAACTCCGGTATGCCGATCCCGTGCATACGTGCACGTACTAGTCTCATATAGGACACTGTAGATAGTTATAGTAGTTTGTAGTATATTCTAGTTACATATGTTTGTAGTATATAAGGGGGACTGAGAGTCCCCGAATTCATTACCTTCTCACTTAAACCACTACCCCTCGTACTCGCTGCTCCAACAGGTGGGAGGGTGACGAGAAATGCGTATGCTAGAACTAGATAACGAGGTAAGATATCAAGACGAGGGCCTAGATTAAAAAATGAGAATCATACCTGGTTGAGGAGTGAGATGTCAAGACGAGAGCCTGGCGGAAAGGGGGCGTCTCAACCTCACTCCTCAACCGTGAGGGGTATATCTAAAAATAAATCAAGGCCTGTTAGTGCACATCCAAGCATGGATCACGTGAGTTAAGGGAGAGACGAGCAGCGGCTCTGAGTCGTGTGTCAGCGGACACACGACTGAAGTTGTGCGCGTGCAACTTAGCCTTGGACGGTTTTCATTGGACTTGAGTAAACACCTTGTTTAAACTCGACCAATGACACCTAGGCTTTTGCGTGATGCAGAGGTGGTATGAGTCACTGCGTGACGAGAAACTAGCCAAAGTCAGGAAATCTGGCGTGGCGCGCGCCAGACTCCGACGTATTTCCACTCGAGGTATGGCTATATTCCTATATAAAGAAAAAAAGGAAAAAAGGGGTGATGAGATCACGTAGTGATAGATGTGAGGAGCGAGGGGAAAAACGGGAGAAGTACATGCGTGTATAAGTGTGTAGGAAAGGGATACGTCCATGTCGTGGGGGATTGGTGGTTCTGGGATCCATAGAAAGTCTGTTTAAGTAAAGAAAGGTCTGTGAGTAAAATAAAAGTCTGTAAAGTAGGAGGAAAAAGTCTGTGTGGTGTCAGGAATCCAAAGCGTTGATGTAAGACAATGCGGAACGCGCTGTTTGACCAAATAGTAAGGCTTGAATCAAAACAGGGTTTTTGCGGATGTAGATTTTGAAGGCATCTGAGGCCCATCTACCGATAGCTTGAATTATTGAGGGTGGTACCCCGTTTTCGGCGAGGGAAGTAGCGCCGCCGGCTCTGAGGGATTGACCGGCGGTGTCGGAGTCGAAGAAACGATGCAAGTGGTTGATGAAGAAGGACCGTGTAGGGACGACTCCATTGCTAGTTAGCCAGAGGGGTGAGCTGAAAGGGAATTTGTTATCTCGTGCATGGATGTATGCAAGGAAGTGCTTGTGAGGGTCGAAGATGCGTCCGTTTTTGTGGACTATGATGGTGTTCCCTTCGAAAAATCTGTCGGCCTTATGGCCAGGCAGAAAAAACTGAAAAGAAATGTCCGAGAAACACACAGAGGTGTGTTTGGTGACTTTGCGAGGGTCATGAAGTTGCGGGTCGTCTGGGTACGTCATTTTGCCCAAACGGAATAAGGCGAGGAAGCCTGTGAGGAGTTGCGCTAGGAAGAGGATGTCGTCATAGTCGGATGAGTTGCCTAGCGCATGGACGACTGTCTCGAGGTCGTCAAGGGTCAGGGCACGTTTGCGTGTGGTTGGTGTTCCATGTAAACGCCTGCAGCCCTGCAATGTACGATGTACCAGAGCAGAGTTGCGAGCGGTACATACATCAGGGAAATAGGGTTCGAGCTGTTGGCATATGCCAGACAAGTAAGTCGCGACTGAGCCAGGTTTGATAGTGTTTGGAAGTCCGGTCTCGTGACTGGAAAAAGACCGTAACCAGACCGGACCAAGACCGCAAAAGACCGGACCTGCGGTTACGGTCTTTTATTTTTGAAATGTAAAGACCGCAAAAAAACCGGTTAACGTGAACCAGTCTTGACCGGTTTGGACCGGTCTTTTGTAGCCCCTTAAATACCCTTTAAAACGCACCCAAGAACGTACGATTTGGTAAAAAAACGAGAGAGATATGAATTAAAATGTAAATTACTTTTGGGAATAATAGATGTACCAGACTTATTTTATAGAAGCACCAATTCCTAACGGAATTTAACGTTCTTGGGCTCGTTTTGAAGCTATTAGAGATGTTAATAAATTTACCGATTCATAATTGGCCTAACGACCGGTCATAAACCGGTTAAAACCGATGCAGACCGAAACCGGTCTATAGACCGCAAAAAACCGCGGTCTGCGGTCTTTTTGCGGTCCGGTCTGGTCTTTTGACTTCTGGGGAAAAGGCAGACCGGTTACGGTTACGGTTAACGTCCCTGGGCATCAAAAAACCGGACCGAACCGGACTTTCAAACACTAAGGTTTGATGTGATGGCACATGTAGACGGTGAAAAGGCTGAGAGTGTCAGGGGTGGGGTTGAGTGGGAAGTCATGTAGTTTGACAAAATTCAAATAAGAGTTGAGGGTGGGTCCGTAATTTTTCCACGTTGAGTTATCGACGGCTTGTCTGAGAGCGATGGCACGTTCTCTGAGCAGTCGTTCTCGCGACCAGGCATCTCTGTGGGGTTGCCTGGCGCGCACGGTGGCAGGGATCATTTTTTGGGAGCCCCCAGCAGCAATTGAGGGGGTAGAAAGGGTGAAATGATGAGGTTGGGGACATACTGATGGGCAATGTCAAAGTTATGTCTTGAAATGGCATCAGCGACGCTGACATTAGTGTTGCCGAAGTTCAGTCCCGAACTGGCAGAACTGAACTGACAGTTCGGTTACAGTTCTGGTTCCTGTTCGGGCTGGGGGTGTCGGTTCCAGTTCACGGTTCAGCCCTTTGGAAATTTTTGAGAACTGGGTTCGGACCCGTTCGAACTGAACTGAACATGTATATGTCTTGTATATTTTATCGACGAATTTTTGGGCTGTTTCGGAGATTCAATGTGTGCCGGCTAATGCCATATCATCAAACCTTCATCATGATGTCAACGCAACATTCTCACTGACTATAGCGCCTTGAAAGGGAAAGCCCCGGCTCAACGAGTTGGGATAAAGTGCGTCAAGATCCTCTCAAAAAATGTTAGGGTGGCTGAGGAAAATAACCAATTCCCTGGGGATCTATAATCCTGCTTCAACATCACCATTTGTCGTGCTGATTTCCACCT